CCTTCTGTGCGAGAACGGACTTTTTTTTAGCTGTGACAAATCTCACGGAATAATTGGATAATTCAGACAGAAGATTCAAAGATAAACTGGTAATACGGCGAAGATTTATGGTGACGTTTCGATTGAAAGAATCTCGAGTACTAGATAAGATGGTACAATGCTTACTAATAAACCGGAGCGCGAGAAATATTAAATATCGGAATGAAATTCCATTGGTCGAGACGCGCTTGTGCCTGCAAGTATATTTCTTACATTATTATCGCCAGAGGCTATACAGTATTTTATTAGCGGGATTAATTATGAACCTAATAATGCATTAGTATAGTAGACCCGTTGACTCCGATGGCATCGTGCGATGCACATCAAGATAAATCGCATGATTATAATAAGATATTTTTATTTCTCCCGAATAAGTAGAAATAATCTGCACAATTAGAATTCCGATATTTATTCTGTAATATATATAAATTTTTTTAAAACTTAATATTATTTATCTTAATAATAATATCTTCACATCATAATAAAAGAATAATTATGATCATATGAAATTATTATATTTTTACGGAGATATTTTATGAAAAATCAGCTGCAACGTCGTTACATCGATACAAACTTGGAGATCGAAATCGATAATTGCGCGCTAAACGTTAGTTGGCGAGACTTGCTCTGTCCCACGGTCGCTAAAGGCTTCTCTCGTCGAGCTAACGCGCGCAACAGAAAATTCGCATGGATTAAGATTAGAGATATAATCGAGCGATAGTCGCTAATGGTCTATTACGCGGTGTCCGCGCAGCTCGCGGCTCGGCAGATGCCTGCTCCTCCTAGCCATGAAAATGACTCGGCTATTCAGCCTCCTTGGCGAGGTCAACGTTACTCGGTCATGCCTGTCAACGATCGGACGATCGATATCGCGCGCATTGATCGGCCAACCGAGCCACGCCGAGCCGTTCCCAATTAGGACGCACGCGCTTCACATTTTTCAGCGGACGTTTCATATAAAATAAATGTGCTAACTAACCAATTACAGCGAGACGACCCCAGGCAGACGACCGGTTACATCGCCGGCGCTCATTAGTGTCACGCTTAAGTGCCGATTGCACCTTCGCCGCGCGGCTGGGCGCGATGGCAGATGCGATGACGATGATGCATCGCGATTCCGCGGCTGGCCTCGCGAAAGTCAATATCACACGCCGGAATTCCGCGATTCTTTGTCGAGTCTTGATTTGAGCACCTGATGCGTCGCTTGATCGATGAGTCTCCTTTGTAGCGTGGAAAACATTCAAAGAAAGGATTGCAAATAATTTCATCTTTCAAAGCAATCTCCATTTGATTCTTTTAAAAGGATGATTAAGAGAGAGTCTATTCTCACACTATATATATTCTAATATAATTATATAATAATATATTTATATATTGTGCGTAGAGAAATAGCGAGTGCCATTCTCTGTTTTCGCGTGAATATAACCTTTGTCTTTACGTTTCTCTTAAACGACATAGTGTATTCCTCTCGAGGAAGCTTCGGTACGTTCCCTTGACAGGAACTTTCAATTTAAGTTCCTGCGCGGCACTCTGGTTTCAGAATAGCAGTGCAAAGGATCAAAGAATGCTGACCACGCGCGCGTGCGAAACAAACACGTCCGATTACGATTCCTGCCGACCTTGCGGATACATAAAAGTGCATAATCGCTTGCCTCGCATCAGCAGCAGCATAGCAGGGTTTCCCTTGATCTTGTCTCTCGGCGCGCGCGTGATTACGCGGGGGAGGGAAAGGGAGGCTTTTGTTTTCTCCCGCGCGTCGGAGGTAGGGAGCCACACCCTGGAATATGCACACATACACGTGGAACGCTGATAATAATAATTGTTCGTGCATTTGCGTCGAAAATGGCGACCTTGTCCTTGCGAGGCCGCGCAAGGCCGCGCATCTCGGACGCATCGCTATGTTGCCGTGGGAAGATCGCTGGCGATCTCCTCCTCGCCTATAGACCCTCTGGCTCGCCTTGACTGATCCTTTCCATAGATTAGTACGCGTCTCTTGTACATACGCCGCTTTAGCTAAACGCACCTGCGGTAAATATAGAATTAAATGGACCAGCGCGCGTCGCCACCGACGGTATATTAATAAACCCGGCGTGTTTCGCATACGTGCGCCTCGTGCCTGCCTACCATCGCGGTATATCGCGCTGTAACATCGCACCAGATGAGACCAAGCAGCTCGTTGCCGTAACTTTGGTCTCGTTAAAGGGGTTACTGGGATCTTCTCGCCATTTCTACCGGCGATTCAGGGGCGGATTCGCTGTAAGACTTATCGGAGAGATCTTGATTGATCGGAGTCATTATTTCAATATATGTAATATCTGGTAACTTGACAGAGAAATATTTAACTATAAATGATAGGTACGGAAAACTAGAGATTAAGATAAAAAAATTTATGTTACAAAAAAGTATAATGATTATATATAGGAAGAATAATCTCTTCCTTAACGACTTCAAGACTTACAGTGAAATAAACTGAAACGAATGTGGAAGTGAATCAGCAAACGACTGCTTAGTTTAAAATCTGATTTATCTTCTAATCTCCAGACGCTGTTGTAATATGTTGTCATTTTGATAATAATAGTAATATCTCTCACATATATCTATGTTTATAACTTTTTGCATTATCATAGAAAAGATAACAAGCTAAGCTTAATTAAATTACATGTAATTATTTTTTTAGAAATAAAATTAAGAAGCATTTTATTTAAAATATCGATATCAAAAATATTAATATCAAAACTGATAATTTTTATTTTTATGAATTTTTGACTGGAATATATAAATTTAATTAATGAGGTATTGAAATGAATATGAAAAGAGAGAAGTCATATGAAAAAATATAATATAAGTTACAACGGACATATTATGACAACGAGATATGCTCTTCGCTACTTTGTGGTACGACTTTCATAATCTCTTGTCATTTCTTCGATCTTGTTTATAGCTTCAAAGTATTCTCCGCTTCTCTTGCAATGGCGTACTTGGTTATTCGCCAATGTAATATTTAACGATTTTTGCGAAATGCTTCGATAGTGCGGTATATCACATATCATTTGTCCCGCTATTAGCGAAATAGTTGTTCGTTAGTTGACGTTATGCAGCCGAGAGAGAAATTACCGCAATCTTCACCGACGGAACTGATGTTATCGCGGATACGAATTCACGTTGTATTTCTCGCGAATATCACACGTGAAACCGTTAGATGCTAGAGAGCACAACGACATAAATTGCAACGACAATCTCCGGAATTTCGAGAAGTCAGGCGGAAATTCGCGCGGTTGCTTAATGGTCGAATCGAAATCTACCTATGTTTCGTAGCGCGAATGACGAGAATCGATGTACATGATGGCGTAGATGACGATGATGATGACGATGACGATGACGATAATTGCGATGATTATATCATACGATCGGAGGAATAGGATATTGCGTATTCGCATTGCATAACGCTTTCATGCGCGAATTTAACGGTTGTGGACTAATGATTTCCTCCGTCTGTCAACCGGCAAACGATCACGTGTATAATTGCCATGTTGATGTTCTCGCTTGGCGTAACATTAACACTCGCGTAACATGTTCTGTACATGCAGGAATGCGGGCAGAAATATTGTAAATACGAAGAATTTTTTTTTAATTAAAACAATTCTTCTCTTAAACATTTAACAATAAACAAATTAAAAATTAACAAAATATTAATAAAAATTTATATTTGTAAAATATATTGTGAATTTCCATAATTTCGAAATCACAGTAATTATTTGAATATCTTTAGATTTTTTACTATATTTTTTTCTGCCTCCTATTCATCCTAATTTGCCTAATAGGATTAAAGACCGTCTAGTGAGTGTTAAGATCCTTATTATGTGTCTTAGCAATTTCCATAAAAAGAATCGCGTGAGAGAGAAATCCGTAATGATGTAACGGACGCCAGTCCGCACCGGTAATATACACGCTCGACAAAAATTCAATCCAAGGTCGTTCCACTTTCCGCCCACTCGGAAATCACAGCGGTTTGCTCTTTTTTACGATCTTCATCCGTATTGAAGTGCAAGACAATGTATATGTATTCGCAATCATTGCGAGCGCGCAAGAAGAAGGCTATCACATGCAATCGTCGCTGAATCTCAGTCGAGTGTTACCAAATATAGGGACTTGGATTCATTTTATTTAAGTATAGTCATATAAGGAAATTGCATGTAACATTTTAGTCATTTTTATGAAAGTGCATCTTATTTATTATATTTTCATTGTTCAGAATGTAATTTTTAAGGAATTCGATTATCGAGAAAATTATGCATCGAAGAAAATAGAATTTTTAATATCGAAAATAAAAGGAAACATTGTTTATTTTAAGAAACTTGCAAGAAATTCGGATTAAATTTAATTCACATATCTCTGTCGTTATTATCCGAGAAAGAATTATATTGACAGTGTACAAAATTAAACAAAATGTATATGAAATAATGCTTAGTCTAAAGTTCGTCCCAAACTTTCCTTTCTCCTGAGATTAATCTACCTTCGAAGTAGCTTCTGATCCCAACCGCGATCTGATCAGCTGCCATTTAATCTCAGCACGCCGCAATTGTCAGCTGCTCGTGCCTCGTCGTTGCTGTGCATACACGAAGACTCGACTACTATTACGAGCGATTATTACGTGCTCCTAGGAAGGAAGTATACGTATCGAGGGCGGTGCGCGCGGCTCCTGTGGGGTAACAGCTCCTTTCGCGGGCAACAATAGAATCTTATATTGAATAAACCCACGTATAAGTCGGCTCGCATATTCTGTTAACCGAGGGACTCCACGGGCGAGGTTCAGGCGCTGGTACTGCTGGTACTGACAACGCTGGTATAGAGGTGGCGGCACACACGGAACACACACACCAGCGAAACGATTATACGACGACGATCGTGTGTGTGTTCAGCTCTTGGTGTCGGTGGACCTCTTACACTCGACTCAGTCCGAGCCGGGCGTCAGTGACTTCGCGTCCGCCGATCCGATCGGATCCTCTCCAAGAGATGCGGGGCGCATCCTTCCGCGGAAAGCCAGAGATCATAGAAGTTACGCATTGCTCTCGAAATTTGGACCATTCGATTTCGTCATCTTTCGGAAATCAACGCCAAATGTGTGCGGTAAGTGAATTAGAATATTTTCATTTAAATATATTTTATTCTATTTTTTATTAAGATACATTTATTTGTTCAATTTATTACTAAAATGCATTTAATAATAAATTGAAAAATAAACATTCCTTTTTCCGCGATTTTTAAAAATCTTTCTAAATAAATACAAGATGTGTCTGACAAATTTTTATCTTAAATTTGGCTATTTGATATAAAATTGCTATTGTAGAAAATTTAAATCTATTTACTCGCGCAAATGTGAAAGAAATACAATTGCCTACAGTGACTCTTGTTGCTTGTACATTGTGAAAAATTGCCACTTTAGTTGCAAGTCGTATCAAGTCTGCGATAAACATAAGTGCGTTTGTTAAAGGAGCATACCGGCTCCGACTTATAAAGCGATGCATTGCCGCAATCAAACTCCGTGGATGGAAGCATACTTTGACTGTATCTCCTGCTTATCTGTTTCAGACCACCGCGATGCATCGCGACCTCGGCCGACAAGGTGTCTGAGGGATATCCCCGCGGGACCTCTCTACCTCCTTCTTTACCTCGTCTTCCCTCGCGGTATACGGTAGGTCCTGTTCGGAGGCTACCAGGATGCAGCTCAGACCCAGTTATCGAGGAGTCCGAAGGCACCCCGCGGCTTGCATGCACGGTATAAAGCAATAAAAGCGTCCACGCCACGAGATATATCTCGCGAGGTCCGCGTAAGAAACGGCGAAAGAAAGCCGACTGCACCGGTAAATCATAAACGCCACGGGGATCGAACTGCGGGAGATAACTGCCTTCGCATAAGGAGAGATAGAGAGAAAGAGAGGAGCCAGCGGCTCGGTTAGTCAAGCGGGATCCATCATTCGATTGCGCGCCCATCGAATCCATCTATCCTCGGACGCCTTGGCAACGCTAACGAAAACGAAACAGCCCGGAAGAGGAGCCTCATCGTCGTTCATCATCGGGAATAGGACGTCCGGAAGATACCTCGTGCAGAGAAGCGGATATTCATCGCTTGCTCGCCGGTGTAAACCATCTCTCGCGGATATATTATCGATAGATCCCGATAATTTTCCTATAAGAAGATACCTGTGCATGGACCTTCTTCAAACGTCGATGATCATCGCGGATATCCGCGATCGTAATAGTTTTGCCGCTAAAGAAAGATACGTTACTCATCCGCGCTCGATGTTTACAATCGCGAGAATATTATCGATAAATCGTGATAGGTTTTAAATTGTAACGCGCACACGCTACTGCTCCGACTGATAACAGATGACTTGTTGCACGTGTGAAAAGTGTAACATAAAGTGGCAAATCTGTAAGCGGATCAATCACCTTGACAGTGCCGAGGAAAAATCGACTAGGTGTTTCACAATCCTCGATTTCACTGCGCGCTGTTGCCTCGGGTAACAGTTTAGTGTCTAGTGAAGCAAGTTTCATTTTGTTTATTCATCTCCTAGATGTAATATCCACTGCGAATGAACTTTTGCTCAAAAAAATAGACGTAACGATTATTTAACTCATCGTGTATATTATTTCATTTCTTTCTCAGTTGCAATTTGCGAAAGAAATCTCTTGCGTGGCGCAAAATGTCAAAAATAATCAATACTGGAAGGATTAATGTCACTATCATTGTGCCGCGAGATGGAAAGTGACAGCTGCCGTGCCGCGGCGGAGTGACATAATTGAAGAAGAAGAAAGTACGTTCGAGTATCCGTTATTAAACGGTAATGAACGGGCATCGGGAGAGGAGTAAAAATGCTCTCGAAAGCAAGCGTCGCGCTCGCTCCGCCACTACGAGGATTAAATGACGTTACGAGTTTTCCGACCTCATTCTGAATAGGATTATCCCGTTCGAGAATCAACCTTGTCTTCTGATATCTCGTCATTTATCGGACTACATATTTGTCTCAATGTTTTCGAAAATCGTTCGCGAAGTGACACTATTCCAAGATGTGTGAGATCATGTCATCGAACGGTGAATTCTCGACGATGTCCAGCGAAGAAATGCCTTCGCTGCCCAAGTCCCTCCCGAGCTCGAGGGAGGCGACCGCCGAGGGTGGTTCCGGCTCCGACGGCGGATACATGCCGCTACGGGAGTTCCTGGATCGATTCTCATTACCACGGGTTGTCAGACTCGAGGGCACCGGCGGCAGACCGGTGCTCCTGTACAAGCAGCAGCAACGATCGCTAAGAGTCACAGCGAGCCTGCTAATGCACCGGTACCGACATGACGTCAAAGTGGGACCGGAGATCGTCATTCCGGAAGGTTATCCAGGTAAGTTTTTTTCCATCGGGACTTGAATCTCGTCCCTTGATGCAGAATGATGCATCGAGGACATTATACAAGTTGCGAAAATCAATCGAATCTTTGATAATTATTATTCCTTGCGCAGGATTATGTCAGAAAGCGATTTGATGTGCGATTAATTAAAGATGCGGAAACGTAAATTGAAAACTAATTAAAAGATATCAAAATCGAGAATATTAAATTAAATCTTATATATATTTTAAGCGTTTGCTTTGTAAAGAGAGATATCTTTTAGTCTTTAATTTTATTTGGGTTGATACCGATGTAGCTTCTCTTTTAATGACCGTGAGAAATGACAGCGTGTAGCACGTAAATTATGCTTGGCAGAGTGAACGGTAACGGTTGTGGAGATCATCCGGCTGGAATCATCGGAACAGGTTATAGGCTTTATCGAGCTCGCGCGCGCATTTGCGTTGATGCTCGCGTGGACGCAAGAGAGGCTGCAAGAAAAATGATAATGCTCCGATCTCGCGCGTAAGAAAGAAGGAATGAAAGAGAGTGGGACCTCTCCATCATACGATTAATGTTCCAACTCGTTTTTTTTCATCTCAATCGTAAAGCACTTTGTGTGGCGAAGTAAGTCGCGAAACTCGCAAGCCTCTGGTGCTTCTGCGTGCGCGACTTATATTGGTTTTCTGGCGTCAGAAATGGAAATTATGAGGCAATAAAGCGCGGTAACACGCACCTATTAGATCGAATGGACGACAGATAAAGTTGAGGGAATGTTTAGGCTCGGTGATGGCTGGATGGCTTGAAGAGAGACCCGTCAACTAACGACGTCCGGTTCTTTCGCGCGGGTGCAAGATACTATTCAATATATCGATATTTTTTCTTTCCACACACTTTCCTTTACTTCTTCTTTACTACGTCTCTTGTTTTTCTTGATTTTGTCTTTAAGCGAAGTGTGGAATTATTACTGCGTACGACAGTATCGCGCTTAATTGTCAACTATATCTAATAAATACATTTTTTTAATGAAAATATTTTTTAATGAAAATATTGGTCAGATGAGATCACTATGCGTGAGCAAAATATGTTAAGTAACCGAGGCTGAGAAAGAATTTTAGCGCACTTTCCTTTTACTGTCTTATTAATGAATGACCTGGGGCGATTACGCGTAAATCGATTACGAATATCTGACGAATCGCGGGGAAACAGGTTCGTATTGATGTCGTGGGATTTTTTGTCATACGGTTTTTTCGATAGCGATTCGTCTGATTCATGCGAGAGACACGTCGCTAATGAATAAATTATTTCATGCACCAATGACTCACAATGCAGGACAAAGTTCAAGGTGTTGGCAATTTCTAGTCTCTATTAGAACTTATGCCGATTTTGAAACGGTTCGGAATGACCTCGGCAATTCGCTATTGACTCTTCTCCTCTCACTCTGCTTGTTTGACAGCGTGAGGGTTTCGAGCTTGAAGCTCTTCGCGCGAAATATCGTCAAGTCACGACTCAGTCAGAGAGCGGATGACGAATGGAATCTGAAAAAAAGCGATCCGGCTCTCTCGTGCGTCTCTTCTTGGCAAAGTTTTCGAGTGAGAATAGTTTTTAGAGAGATGTGCTGAGGTTGCTCGTTATTTCACGATGAAAAGGAAGAAATTCCGAAGTATCGAATGGATACGAGCTTCGTGCACAGCTGGCGGATAAATTGACACTTGAGGCGGACGCGAGGTTGGTTACGTCGTGTATAAGTCGCATGGTACTAACAGTAAATTGAGCCGGGAAATGTTACTCCACGCCCACGAATTCGCCACGAGTGCCACGTAATTCACGCGGCGAAATCGCGCGTGGGGAAGGATAAAAAACGCGATTCTATCGTCGCGCGGCCAGACGTCTCGCGCGGCGCGAATTAGTTCCGCGTTTTAAACGCTTGCTCGCGGACCAAGCGAGACCGCTTCACCGACGCGGTGATAAAGAAACGTCGTCGGACGTTTACTGTTGACCGCTCGGTACAAAAAATAACAGACAGACATGCAGATCAAATAGCGGATGGCTCGCTCGCGCGACGACGAGTCCCTCAAAACGATCGGCCGAGGCTGAAGCGTGAAGCAAATGAGAAGTCACGCGGCGTTATGATCCTTATACGTTTTCTTTCGTTGACGGATAAAACGAAAAACGGCTTTCCTGACTAAAATTGTCTCCTTTTCTCTTTATCTCGCTTCCAATGAAAATTGCGGAATTATTTTTTCCTAAGACCACATGGTTTCGTTTTGTCGTTTTATGGAGAATAAGAGATTCTTTCCGACCCAGACTCGTTGGGAAACTAGAAATTCTCAGTATTCAAAGCTACAAATACCACATAATTTAAATTCCGACCAACGCACGATAGTAAATTTCACTATTTTACTGAACAAAAGTGATTTCTTCTCTCTTTCTCTACCTGCTTTTCCTTGTGCGTCATCGTGAAATTTCAAACGGTCAGTATGACAAGATTCCGAGTTGGACACTTTCGTCATCCACCTTAATCCCATTTGTCTAGCACGGCGCACGTGCATGAAATGCGCGATCGCCGGCTGTTAAATGCAAGTCCATTCCAAGTGTTGCACGAAATCACATTGTAATCTCGTGCACGTCGACGGTGATACGTAACATGTCACATTCGATTTCCGTCTGTTTTGCTCAAAAGCAATTTACGTATAACGTTGATAAAATTGCGGTAAAAGTTCCATTATATACTCTCTTTCCTTTATAATATATTACAGTAAAATTAAAAATTACCACAACGATGAAATAATAATAAAATAATCTCTTAATAGTTGGATTTTAATTTATCATTAAATAATAGTTATTGTATCAGAATGTCATCTACTTAGTCATCTATCTAGAAAAAAACTTGAAATCTTGCTAGCTTGTAAGCAAATATTTTATGATTCAACACACACATATACACACACATGCGGGACAATTAGTATAAAATAGATTAAACACCCATCGCGATTCCATGCGTCTATGCGCTATCATTGCAATTTTCCCGCGATGACGAGGCTGAACAGAAAGGTTTGCGGGTTTGGCTTTCGTCGGCGGAGAAAATCATAAGTTGTAGCTAGATTAGAGTGCATCGTACATTACGTGCCCATTTTACATCATCGTAATCAGCTTATCCCGTCGAGTAAAAAGCGCATTGAGTATTTTCTCTACGTTAATGCTTTCGATTCAAGGAATCGTGTCTGCGAGGGATGAAATGAAGACGTTCGAGAGAGGATAAGAAACGCGTTACGGAACCGCGTGTAATGTATCTTAAAGTGTGTAGAATGGCGGTAACACTCTGTATACTTTACATTCTTTCGGTTTAATTCGTCGAATGTTATTCACGGTTACAGTCCTGCTCGTTCCAGACTGTGAAAGTCGATATTTATGTCTAACATGCTGCGAAATTAATATAATTTCGTAACGTATTATGCATGAATAATCATAAACTAAAAATTGTCATAAAATTTTATAGAAGTATTCCAATTACATACTTTGCCACATAAGATTACAATCAGCAATGATATACGTGAGTTCTTCTGTTCCAATCTCGTGTGACAAAGAGAAAGATGCCATCGAAAACTCGGGGCGGCGACTGTTCACAAATCATCGCCAGTGAAAGGGAATCTCGGAGACGTGCAACTTGAACCTTCAACCGAGATAAAATTACTAGGGGAAGATTCAGAGGCGCGCATCCGATTCCACAGGCCGATAGGGACGATATCGTACATACAAATCACCGGTCGTGGCTTAACTGCCATTCGTGCAAACCTCGGATGAGAGTCAACGATTTTTCAGCAGGCTAGTCTTCAGTTTACAGTAATTTATTAAGCATGTAAAATCTCGGGAATCGAATCCGAGAGAAAAAGAAAGAACAGTTCTCGTCGATGACACGTCGAGGTCGACGTCCTGAACGAGGTTCGTCCTTCCTGTCTCACACGACCCTCGTCTTCCTCCCTGTTCTTCCTTTTCTTCTCCGCGCTATACCGTTAACACGCAAGGGTTGATAGCGCCGGTAGTCCTTAAAATTTTATGGAACGACTTGTGAGATAATCGCGTACCCGTTTTTATTTGACACAGCATATAAAAAATCTTTTGACAGTCGACCGTTCACCTATAACGAATCACGTTTACGATATACTTAGGCGCGAAAAAAAGAAAGATAAACGATCTCGCGCGCGGAAGAAAGGTAGACTCGTAAAAAGTTAAACGCAACGTGAGACTAGTAGACGATGCATAGCGTACGAAAGGATGTTTAGCGAGACATCATCCGTTTAACAAGCTTGCTAAATTTTTTACTTTAAAAATCAATATGCCTTTTTATAAATATCATATATAAAGTATAAAGTAAAATTTATATTTATTTCTCGTTGCAAGCAATAAAAGTATCGCGCATTTTATTCGATAAAAAATATATATTGTATTCGATAAAAAAATATGCATATGAATTTTAAATGATAAAGAGTAACCAGCTTAATCAATTTATACAGATACAAAACTTGAGAATTATTGATGATCGTGTGTGTTGCGGCAGATCGGCGATTTCATACGTTTAAAACTTTCTTTCTTTCTTTCTTTCTGGACATACGGAGAAACGGAGAATGAATTGCATGCAATATTGCGATCGTGATTGCGGGCCGAGAGATCGTATAGATCGGCTTATCCGACATAGTCGTATGGTTTTACTGCCAACTGTCCTGTTCAGCGAAGACGTCCCGGCTCTCTTTCTATAACATGATGTGTGAATGTGTATATGATATGTATGTTTGTGTGTGCGCGTATATATATACAAATAACTATATATATATAGTTATTTGTTCGCATAGACCTCTTGGACAGGGGTCTTACACAAGACAAGAATGGCGCTGGCCAGACGCGCCCTCGGCAATGATCGGTCTCCCTGGTTTTAAATAACGGTCATTACGTGCCAGGGTATAACTCTCTGGGGTATCGCGACCGACGCTGGCTAGGCAAGGAACCAACTTCCATGATAAAGAAAAGAAAAAGAAAAGCGAGAAAGGATCACATTCAATCTATCCCATTTCCTCCTTCTTCCTCTCATGAAGCCGGCTCATCTAATTTCTACAAAATGATAGAATCTATAGATATAAAATATAAAGTGCGACCTACCAACCAATAAATTGCGATCGACTCCTGCTCTCTCGCGCTCTATCGTTGTGTTCTTCGCTTTAATTGCCCTCCCCTCTCTCCCCACGTTTTATTATTATTAATATACCGATTAATACCGATGCTATTATTTTTGCCTCGGCTGCGATCAATTTATTTAATACGATAAATTCTCTTGCGTTTTTATTTAATTTCTTCTCTGCTCTCTCTTTTGTTATTGTAAATTTATTGAGGCAAATGAATGCTCTGTAATAACATGTTGTACATAAATTGTTTAAATATTACTGTAATTTAAAAATATTAGTTTAAAAATATTTATACCATTTGATTTTTAATAATCATTCTATAAAAATGTACTGGATATATTAATGGAATATAGCAGGAATTCTGCTATATCGTAGCAGGTACTATCGATAACAGAGAGTTCAGGAACCGTATACTATTGTCACGGTTCGATTCACGTTGAGGTAATATTATATCCCGAATGATTGGTCTCGCGCGGCGTAACGTGAATTATGCACAATAAAGATTCCAGCCGCAAGATGTGTGTGTGTGTAGGCTGCAGTCTCTTCCTTACTTAATATGCTCCTCCTAAACACATATATCGCGCACCTGGATACCACAATGTTTACCTGGAACGTCACGCCGACACCGGTGATCTCTCGCGTCGAAATTCCCGATTCTATCGATTCTATCGCTGTCGCAAATCTCACGTATAATCTATTCAATTCAATCACGTTTTCTAGCGAAAAATCCAGCTAGAATAAATAAAAAATCCTTTCGTGTTCAACGCTTGCAATTTGTTGATAAATAATTATACAATTTATTATATGATTTTTTCGATAAATTAACACAATAAAATAATTATATTTTTTTATCTCTATGAGAATTCATTGAAATTAATTGTAATAGAGCGAAAACAATTCCATCCACACGTGCCATGTGTTGTTAGATTCAGATTTGTAAATAAAAATTAAATACTTACACATCACATGAATATCGAGCCACGTGCACCAATGACTAAGATCTGTTTTGTTAAAAAGAAATTTTATGCCAAATGAGTGGACACGAATTAGAATAAATTCTTGAAACGTGTTGTAATGTCTAACGTAACTTTTACGAGCGCACCTGGAGCGCAGGCCAACATCCGGTTTCTTGGGTTGTTGCAATCCTCGCTTCGAGTCCTTTGATTGTTATCAAGACTAACATAACTACAAAGCTTGAAAGCAAGAATTTTTTTATTGCAACGATAATGATAGTTCAGTTCTATATATTTCTGTATATTTGGCAACAAAAAAACTATTTTTAATTTTAATTTTTCCCTAATAAATAAGTAATTTCAGATTATATTTCTCTAAAAATTTATATCATTGATATTATATAAAAATTAATATTGAATTTTATTCACTGATATTATATAAAAATATCTATATCTGTTTGAAAAACGAAGAACGCGACTATCGAGATGCCAGATCTATTGATTGACTAATACGTATTTAAGATTTCGAGAAATACTCTCTCTTATGTATTCCACCTAATTTATTTTACATATTGGAATATTAATTTAATTTCGAATGTTAATTTAAACTATAAATAATAAATTAATTTGCAACTTAAATAAGCTTAGAAAACTTGTTCCGTTTGCTAACGGGTCAACATTTATGACGTTACATATATCGACAGAGATTCTGAATCGTAAATATGGTGTATGTGGCAGTGATGCGTCAAAAATGACGGGATTTTCAGCAACATTTAATTTGTTGATTCAAGCATGAAAAAATTGCCTGCTACCGTTCCCATACATCCTCGTGTTTGTTCAACAAAGTGTGCATGCTTTACGAGATATGGAGTTAGAAGAGAGTTAATGAACTCTATTAAAAATTATATAGTTATAGACGTTTCCTTTATAGAACTTAAATGCTATGAAATTCCATCAATGTGATATTTTGTATCATTTAACACAGGTGAATTTCTAATTTAATTAAGCTTTATTTTAGCTTTATAATTGCATATATTTATATAGGTATTGTATACACGTACTTATGTATAATATTTCAATTTTTTTTCTTTTATCGGAAAGAGATAAATTAAATGTAAGTAATTACGTTGCTGATTCCAAAAAAGTAAATCGCCCAGATAAAATTTTATGAGAATATTTATACTTCATGGGCATTATTACGCGAATCGATAAGCGCGTAAATCTCGCAATTATGCAAAACAATAAGACGCGTTAGAAAATCGTTGGCGTGCGTCTGAATGCTTGAACTTTTCCGCAGATTTTTCACAGTAGATGCGGCGATCCCTATAATTACGACCTGAACGCGCTCGCTCTCTTGCGGGGTCCCGGCATCTCTTACCTGTGTCGGATGCGCGCGTGGAAATAGAAAGTGAGGGAAGGCCGTACGTTTGTGTAATTGCGAGCGTATGCTTTCGCAACATTTCTTTTCCGGGGTACATGCTCTCGTCCCGAGCTAGACGTCGCGTCCCTCTGTTATGTGCCGAGGGACGGACCGAGAAAAAATCCGCTTCCCCACATTAACAACTCCCTTCGAGGCGTTCTCAAGACCGTACCAAGAGAACCAATATCATCCGTCTAATTGCGCGCGGGTTTCCAGGTCGTTGATCTAGAACAAACAAAAACCGGGAGCCTCGCCGACCGCTAGATTATTCCATCAGTTAACCTCGAACAGAGAATTAATGCGCGCAACCTGTAAACGGAAAAACTTTCCCAAGGGAAACTGCCCTTCTCCTCTCGCACGCACACATTCCCTTTTTTTTCTTTATACGCGATTGCTCGACGCTCAGCTCGAATCCTGAATATTTTTCTAGAAGAACCAATAAAATATAAAATACGAGGATAATAAAAAATGGATAAAAATATATTATTCTAATAAAAAAATGTATTTTAATACAAAGATCATTCTTTTTTATATAGTTTTCAATCATCATTTATATCTTGTATCTAATTGTGTATTCAGTTAATTTAATTTTTTTCCATTTCTTTGTAATTTAATTATTTAAGAAAGATAGTTCAGTGTTAATTTCGCTTTTATTGGAAGGATGAAGGATTTTCGACAGGGCAGGTCTTTCTAGGACATTCCAGCGGTCCTTAAGGGCCGTGCGGATCGCTGCTCGCTCTGGAATGCCATATAGAAAGATCCGCCCTGTCGAAAATTCTACCTCCTTCCAATGAAAGCGTGCACTCGCATATCAGGGCGGCATTCTTAAATCAATTAGCGACTAGCAAAAGAACCTGTTGACCTTCGATCAGTCGACTAACCATTTGGCTACCGTATTTCCATTGCAACCACACAGCTAAAATCGCCTGTTCACAATTAGGTAGGTTTATTTTTTTTACAAGCTACCTGAAACCTCATCACATAGTTTACTTCTTTTCAGGTAGATATGTTTTTAGCTCGTTTCGGAGTCGAGCACACTGCTATTTCGACAAATGCCAACTAGTCCTGATTATTTTTGCTCGAATCCGTAAAAATTCACTCTTGATTCTCTCTCTGCCTCTCTTTCTTGTTAAAGAAAATTCAAACTATAAATTATTTCCTCCATGTCTAAATTAAATTATATATTTCTACAATAACTGATTATTATTTTTAAAAAAGATACATTAAAAAGATATATTAATATATTATATTATATTTTAGAGTGAATCTCACAAGATAGAATACAAAAAATCTATATAATTAAATCTAAATATAATTTTCTGAAGAATTTATTACTTGCATTTATTAAACGAATAATAATAATCTATTAAAGAAAGGAGTCGAAGCTTTATAACATTTATTCTATTTATTAATTATTTAATTAATATTTATCATATTATTTATATTATAGAATCGAAGAGATACACCATGTATCTTTATAATTCCTAGCATTGATATTTAATATTTTATTCTTTCAGGATGGTTTTCTGTGATATCTGGCAACAGCACGACGGGCAGTGCACGTGTTTATCGAAAGGTGGATTCTTTGGTGAAAACAGGGATACCGGTGTTTCTGCTTGCGACGCCTTTAAGAGCTTATACGTTGACACATACAAAAATGGGTAAGTTCGGGCAGAAGAAACTGGAAGGTGCCGCGATCACGATCGCTCGCGAAATGTCAAGCAGTGCAACGTTCTTGACCCAGATGCATATCAATGCGATATAGAAAGTGATTTTTTTCTTTTTTCATCTTCATTTGACCCGTGTAAAAACAGAAATGCACGCTCAAAAATATATCTTTGCAAGGAAACCTTTTTACAGAAAAATATTGCCAATTATCACGTTTCATAATTATTTATATTTAATTATTTATATTATATATCGTTAAAAAGTCGAAGGAGGAAATTAAAAGCACATTAATAAAAAGTTAAAAAATATTCAAGAAAGATCCATTAAAATATTTAAATTTAATTTTAATCAAATTCCATTCCGATAAAAATTCTATTTACATACTCATATGCATATTTTAAATATCTTTTATATTTATTTTACAACCTTGTTATAAAAGCGTAAAACTCGAAAGAGGAAGTTTCGAACATTTTTCTGTCAGACTGCGGCTAGATATTCATATATTATAAATTAGTTAATAACAGACCGATGAGACACGCATTAATAAGATGTAAACTACGACGTGATAAAACTGAAACTTCGTTTAAACGGGATTATCGATAAAAACACGAGTAACGGCAGCTGTTGGGATCAGTCTCCGATCCTATATTAGATATGTGTACACAATATATCGCGCGAAGACATGACTGGAAAGGACTTCTGCCGCCTTTTAGTTCGGTACCGTTAAAGATGCCTTTAGGACACGACTGCTGCCAGGATCGATTATACGCTGGGCTTCTTTTGAGATTCGACGCGTTGTTAACGGGATCGCGCGCAGTATAATCGAAGAAACGAGTTGTATGATCATCGACGCCCTTTGTACACAAGCCCTTTGCAACACAAGCCCATTGCAAATAATATCGCGACTGCAATTCGTGATCAATTTTGCATTTTACGTCTTTCAGAGAACGGAAATCTGCGTGCCCATTACACGAAAACGACGATCAGAGCCGGCGAGATATTGCGACTCGTAGCTGTGTTCCAGGATACGAGAAGATACAACTCGGTCTCCTTCGGAATTTCCGGTGGATATCCCGAAAAGGATCAATACGCGCAATGCATCGACCTTCATGGACGAGAGGTATTCGCCTCGCTATCGACCAGAGGCGAGTTTTACGCGATCTGTCAAAACGGAAGCATCGATACCGGAAGTGACGCGGTACTTTACAAGGTTCATCATCTCGTCAAGAGGCAGTTGCCTCTCAGAGTGAGTTGTTTTTATGAAGCTTATATTATCTCTTTTAATAACCAACGCTAAAAAATATTTTATAATATTATACTTTTCATTATATTTTTTTTTCATTATTGATTAATTTGTCGTTTCAGGTACGGTTGATAGCAGGACCGCTACCGGTGCCGTTGCCAAAGGAATACGGCGGTCTAATGCAGCTGGAAACATCGACGCGAGGTCCAATAGTTTTGGGCTGCATAGTTCCAGAGAGACCGGTACATAATCCAGAAATGCTCGAGTTGGTTGTATCCGGTAACGGTGCGCCAAGAGTACGAAGGGCAAGATTGGGTTACCCTTCGGAAGCAAGATTGCTGGCCTCCCCGAAAATTCAACGATTACTATCAGCTTGCAGGTAAAATTACAATTAATTGGATTTAAAATGAAATTAATACACTTTTTGCTTTAATAAAATGAAAGTTTAGCTTTCTAAAATAAAGACTTCAATATATTATTTAAATTAATCATCAAATATTACAGAAGTAAAAATTAAATATATTTTTTTATCTGTTAACTGTATTGTTTGAATAAAATTGTTCAATTCTGATTTTTCTCAACGCATCTAAATTTCTCTAAAAATTCTATTAAAGATATAATCGTAGAAATCAACTCTGTCAGATTATTATATTGAAATTTATATTCTATGCAATTAAATTGATTTTTTACTTTAGTCGAGCGGTCGGAGATCGCGCAACTGAACCACGAGTGGCGCCCGTAAAATTGCATCCAACACCTGAGAGTTTGAAGGAGATGCATCTGAAGAAGATCAAGCCGAAGTCGGAGACTAAGCCGATTTTGCAAAGTTTGAAAGATGGGCTAGAACACCTGAAGCGGAATACGGCGAAGGAACGAAATCAACAGACGAAACAGAGCAACGGAAATGGCATTCTCGAGAGATTCTCGAAACTCGCTCAGAGCAACAAAAATCGCAATCCCGCGAAGAAATCGGCCTCGTTCACGTTTGCGGTGAGGCCGGAGATAGCCATGAGATCTCAGGAACGTTACTCCAGTCTGGAACCAGAAGCTACCTCTCATCAGACCCGTCAAAATCAAAACGCCAAGCAACCGGTACAAAGATCCGTGTCGACCAGCGTGTTGGAAGTACCGGCGTGCGTCGAGTTGCAGCCCAACTATTCCCGTGTGAGGGACAGTCTGACACCATTGCCGTCACCACCGAAGCTGGTCAGGACCAACAATAAAAACGAAGAGATCTACGCCGAGATCTGCGATACCACGATAGTAAACCAGGTGCAAAAATGTCCAGGAAGCCACGTGATGGCGCGAATCAGGATCGTTGTGCAGGGCCATGACTCGTCCTTAGAAACGCGCAATGTGATCGACAACGAGAGATATGCGAACTCGATGGTGATGAGTGAGCAGATCGATTCTATTATCAGTACGGAGGATGAAGTGATTTATAACACCGTATTCTGAGATTATCGGATTATATAAATCGCGTTTATGATGCTTATAATCATACGAAAGTGAACGAAAAGGAAATTTAATTATAACTTGGAGTAATGAAATTTTTAAAGTGTAGGCAAACCGGCTGTGTTCATCGATCGACTTTCTATTCGCTGTTTCGAGGAATGTATTATATTACATAAGCATATGCGTATTAAGAAAACATGTACGAATGGTTTTGCAAAAAAATGCAAAAACCTGTACATACCTTTGCCATATATTAATGTACTAACAATTAGAAAGGAAACATATATGTATGTTAAAAATATGTTTCTTAAAATGATGAATCGCTCAAATTAATTATGAATGTAAGTATAAGTTGCGACAAAATAAAATTCATCTAATTTTTGTTAACTCATGATTGTTCTATGAAATCCGTATTTTGTGATGAATATTAAACAAATAATATAATGCGATGAGGAAAGTATTAGAAAACTCAATTCGTATATATAAACAAAATATATATATTTTGTCTTTTTAAACTCTAGATCTTTTCAGCTTTTGTCGCTTTCTTTTCTGAGATACGGTATTGTTTTCTTTAATTTTATCGGGATTATTTTCTATTACTTTTTTCATTACTTCAATAGCTTTTTCTGTATCTTGAGCAGGATCTATTTTTAAATTATCATCAAGATACTTTCCTGAAAATCCCCTCGGAAATACTGGCTTGGACAATAGAGACCGTAAATGATTTTTCTTTGCTTTTAATTGTCGTTTCAATGCTGCTGCTTCTTCCGATTCTGTTGATGATTCACTGAAATGAAAAAATAATATAGTTCACATTGTGTGTGTACAGATCGAAAATATAAACAACCCATTTATTTCTCTTACTCATCATCATCGTTATCGTCCAAAACCATATCCATATCTTCCATTGCTTTCCGTAACCAAGTTTTTTGAGTATTCTGCCGGCGACATTTTAATTCCAGTTTATCAATATCGCGAGCAATATCTACTCTTTCTTTTACAGTAACTAATAGCCTGTCTACTACGGGAAATGTGGGTAAATCGTGTGCTAAAAAGATTTACATATATGTTATTATTATATTTCTTTAATTATTAATAAGTGAATATTAATTATTTTCATGTTAACGTACTACGTCCAAGAGTTTTGCACAATTTACTATAGTTTTGTTTTTCAGAAGGTTCCATCATTAGAATAGTAATACCTTCTTTCTCTGCTCTTGCCGTTCTACCGCTCCTGTGTACGTAATTCTGTAAAATAATTGTTAAATCAATCTTGTGAAAGTATAATGTTGCATTAACATTAATATTTTATATATTCACCTCAGATGTCCTGGGAACCTGATAATGTATTACATGTTCTATGTTAGGTATATCTAAACCTCGCGCGGCTACATCCGTGGCTATTAACAGTCCGTTTTCATCGGCTTGAAATCTAATGATAATCCCTTTTTTGATTAGTAAAAATTTCACAAGAAATATATTTAATATTTATATGTATATTTATTTTACCTTTCAAGATTTTTTAGGCGTTGTCGTTGCTGCATACTAGCATGTAGAGGTAAAGGTTTGCACTCAAGTATGGAGAAAAGGGTAGACAATCTTTTAACACAGCCAATGCTGTTACAAAATACTAATGTCCTTCCATTATGTTTCTTCAAAAAATAATAAAGGTAATAATCCTTATGATCGATTGTACATGCTATTCGACATTCTGTTAAGTTATCAGCCATACCTAATAATATTAATTTGATTACTAGATAATACACAAGCTCTTATGTTGTTTGACAATCGACGATGATTAATCGACAATGTATATATACCTGATTCTTTTGTAAGATCGACGACTTTAGGATTCTTTATTTTTAACAAATGTATAATCTTTTGCAGTTTCTGGCCAGGAGTAAGTTTATATATTTTACTCCTAGCATATCGTTTCTTTTTTCTTTCAAGATAATCCGGAATATCGTGCACCATAGTTAAAGTAGCCGAAAAAACAAACGTCTGCCGTTTCTCCAGCTTGACTGGATTTGCATTCATTTTTTCTAAAAGATCGTACAATTCTTGAAAGTGACCCTTTTCCATCATTCTATCTGTCTCATCAATGGCTAAGTATCTAAATTATATAACAAATTTTCTATAATATATAAGATTATTTTATCTTTTAGAAGAAAAAAAAATTTTCTCTTCTGTTTAAAAGTTGACAATTACCTAATAGAATCAATTTGATTTAGATGAGAGTTGCCATCCTGAATCAGTTCCCATAATCTTCCCGGTGTAGCAATGACAATTTCAGGACCTTTACTTAATATCCTTTCTTGCTTTACTGCTGCCATACCTCCAAGAACAACAGCTATCTGCAATAACATAAAATTACAATTAAATAAAAATTATATTTAATATAATTATTTTACCTAATGAATAATATATTATTTTAATTCAAAAGATTAACCTCACCTTAATGTCTGTATATTTTGCTGCTTGAGTAAGATGATTCTTTATTTGGATCGCTAATTCACGAGTTGGTGTCAAAATTAATGCATACAAAGGTTTGATTGAAATATTTTGACAATTATCAAGCTTTATGTTATTCACAACATGTACACAATTCTCGGATTCTGATATATCTTCATTTTCTGAATCAGTATTATCTATAAAATAATTAAATTTAACAAATTAATAGTGACTATTAATGCATTAATTAAATTTTATAAAGAAAAATATCAAACTAATTAATAAAAAAAATTGCTATACCTCTAGCTTCTATTTCTGAACTCGATCCTTTATTTTTATGTTTTGTAGATTCCTCAGACATTGACATTTCCAACTGCTGCTTTTTCAAATGCAAAATACCTTTTATTATCGGGATACCAAAAGCTAATGTCTTACCACTACCAGTTTCAGCAGCACCTAATATATCTCTGCGACCTAATATAGCAGCTGGCAATGTCTGAGCTTGTATCGCAGTAGGAGAATGAAAATTCTGATCAGCCAAAGCTTTTATAATACTAGTAGGAACACCCATAGAGCTCCATGCTTCAACATTAATCTTTTCCAAGTTTTTATTATCATTTGTATCATAGGATGAATCATCTTCACTGTCAAAATCAATTTGTGTATTACTAGTTTTGAGATCTGATCTTATTTTCTCATCCGATTTCTTTGTTTTAGCTTTCTTGACTTTTAATTTCTTTACAGATGGCTCAACATTGTTAATATTAGCTTCTTTCCATTCATCTGAACATTTGCGTTTTGCTGCTGACTATAATTAAATGATTTTAATAAAAATTTTAAAATATTAAAATAAATATCAATGAAACAAATTACTTACTTTCTTTTCTTCGGCAGATTTTACTTCTGTAGTTATAATTTTGCCTTTCTTGCTGTTTCGCTCTAAATTATAATCAGTCAATTCCTCTATTCCAATTAATCCTTCTATGCCATTGGACACTAAGGTACCTTCCAATGTCACAGGTTTCCATTCACTATCATGAATTCGTTTAGTTTTCATGATTCTAAAATATTTAATTTTATTGTTATAAAGGCTTACACGTCCAACGTGGTTAAATATAACCTCATCAATCAGCAAAGTTGTGGAATTCTCAACAGAAAGCTACGTAGAATGCTGCGCAGAACGCTCTGCGCAGCACATGTACGTGGTTTTATAATTTTTGTGTGCGTGTAATTCGCGTCTTCTTTCTGGCATCACTGATTCATTCAAGCATAGTCTACAGCTGTTCTCAATAAGCTATGAAAATCGAGTTTTAATTCACAACCTTTCCTTTAAAATACATAATCATTTATACACCTACGTCTTGTAAAAAGAATCTTAGAAAGAAATTTATTCTTCACCAGCTTGAATGAAATAATGTAATATTTCCTTCTTCCATTAAAAATAACAGTATCGATATAACAACACGCGTACGCACTCTATATAATTAAATTTTTATCCTTGACATACAAAAAAAAATCTATTTATGTAGTCACGTGCGTGTATGTGTTTTTTCACACGGTGACTCGAGGGAGTTTGAGCGTCACTGAGCATTAGAGAAAACCGGCCCGATGGTAGCAAGATGGCGTTCCCTGCGACACAGGCATATCGATTGTGTGTGTGGGGCGGCCGGCATGGGCATGGGTGAAGGCCGTTGGATGCCACATAATTTTCGTAACGGCTCTTCGCGAGACTCAAAGCTGTCCGGATAGATCGAATGATGAGCACGATCGGGAGATGATGCCGGGCACGTCTTGCCAGCTGGAAACGTCTAACGGTAGTAAGAAATCGGCTTGACTTTGCATCCACTTTTGCCCTTCGGGACCGTCGTTCCGAAATTTGACAACGGGCGCGATTCAACCCTCTGCTCTAAACATGATGCTGGAGATGCTGTCGCGACTGTAATTCCAGTAAAATGTGTGATATTTGATTATCAGTTTGGAAGTTTTCGGCAACGGTCTTCTATCCTATTTGGATTTGTGTATCACGTCGTCATAAATTAATCTTTACGTCATTTTGACATGTTATTATTTTATTGTATTTGAGAATTCTAGCATTTTTTTATCCTATTAAATTATCCAGCGTCTTCGCATTCAAGTTTTATCATTGTTTAAAAAGCATATAAAATCATGTATTTATATTAATTTATGTTCATATATGTATATATATATATATATATATATATATATATAAATTATATATATATATATATATATATATATATATGTGTATATATTCTATTTGATATATATGTGTATGTATCTATATTTATTTTCGAAACTGTAAATAATCTAGATACATACACATATAATATTTATTTTTTTATGATAATTAATTCAATATATTCATAAATTAATTAATTAATTTTAATTTTTTTTATTATGCAACAATAATATGTTTATTGTTGTTAAAATTATATAACAATAATATGTTTATATTGTTTAGATTCTGAGTGGAATACTTTAATGGAGGTCTACCATGAGCCGATTGAAAAAAACTATCAGCTACTTGAAGAGATTGGCAAGTAAGTTTTATTATTTCTATTTGATACTCTTTTTTGAATTATTATTAATTATTTGATAATGTGTTTCTAAATTTGTAAAATATAGGGGTCAATTTGCTATTGTACGAAAATGCAAGGAAATAAAAACTGGTGCATTATATGCTGCAAAAATAATGAGAAAGAGAAGAGTTGCCAGGGGTGTAGCTGCTGCAGATATTGGTATAATATTTTTATTTTATTAATATTTATTTTATTAATATTTTTGTTTTAATTATAATTCATTATAAATATACATTTATTTTTAAAACATTATAATAAGGTAAATTTTTTTTAGCAAGAGAAGCTGGTCTTTTGGCTCGGTTAAGACATCCTAACATTGTTTCCTTACACAAAGTGATAGATACAGGAACAACAGTTGTATTGCTTTTGGAGTTAATTACTGGAGGTGAATTATTCCACTGGACTCCATCTGGTGAAACAGAAGCTGCTCATGTGGTAAATATATTGCTATTATTAAAACTCCAATTACTATTATTATCCAGTTATATTATTATTTTTATTATTTCTATTTATTTATTTTTCTTAAGGTACGCCAAGTTTTAATGGCACTTAGTCATTTACATTCCCATCAAGTTGCTCATCTGGATATTAAGCCTGAGAATATTCTATTGTCGACACCACCACCGATGCCTAGCATTAAGATAATAGGTAACATCTACAATTATAAGTACACTAAAATCACCGATATAAATACTATTATTTTCACAGATTTAGGTCTATCGCATCGACTGGTACCTGGTTCAGAACACAGAGCATTATTTGGTACACCAGAATTTGTGGCACCTGAAATCGTAAATTATGAACCACTTAGCTTGGGAACTGATCTTTGGGCTGTTGGTGTATTGACATATATTCTTCTGAGCGGAGCTTCGCCATTTTTAGGCGAGGACAAGCAAGAGACATATGCAAATGTTGCTGCTTGCCAGTATCAATTTGACAATGAATATTTCAATAATGTATCCGAGATTGCCAAAGACTTTATACGATCCTTGTTGATTAAAGATCCAAAGTAAGTCACAAAAAGATTTATAAATTTGTAACTTTATTATTAAAGGTAGAGATGAAAAGATTTGAGAAAGAAAAATTTCTTTATTTTAGAGAGAGAGGAAGTGCTGAATCGTGCCTTAAACATCCTTGGATTCTCACGGTGTGTCCCTGAAAAACATTGTTCATATTTCCAATAATACTGGTTTATCGTACATTTTCTAATATGTTATATGTATCGATTCCATGCATTTTCTTTTGACCAACTTTTGTCTTGATATGACATTAATCCGTTGTACAGTTATATCGTATATTATATATACGAAAACTATTTTTTATATACAATATACATTTTTAAGTCAAAAAGCAATTTTTCTTTATTATTATTACATATATACCTTAGTTAGTGAAAAATATAATCTTTTCAAATTTATGCTTGCTATGCAACAAAACAATAATTTTATGATATTATAGAGATAAATTAGTTATACGATTTCGACAAAAATTTTATCCTTTCTATGCACAGGAATCTGAAGCTCCTCAGGGTCTCGGCGGAGCAATGATCAGTGCTGTGAAGCGAGGCTGTGTTGAGGCTGTCTCTCAGTTACTGTTGCAGGGTGCTCCATTAAACGTAAAAGACTCCGTGAGGAATCTTTTGTTTATTTTGTTGATATCAAAAGATAGTGCGCGGATAAAATGATAACACATTATTATTGTTCAGAGAGAAGACACTCTTTTGCATATCGCTTGCGAGGCTGGCGACGAGGGAATGACGACTCTGTTGATAGAGAGCGGAATCGATCTAGATATACCGAACAAACATGGTCTCACGGCGTTACACGTAGCTGCTCGACACGGGCATATTAATTTGGTCAGACATTTGTGCCTTGCTGGTTGCGACGTCGATAAGACGAATCGTGGGATTCGAGCAGACGTTACTGCGATTAAATACGGATATCCGGATATCGCATATTTGTTAGATAAATTGCGAAATGTAAGCACTTTTCCAATACGATAATGTTTTTCGTATTTGAAAGAATTCTTAATTCTCATTTTAATCCGTTTTTAGCCGAATCAGCGCGAAAATTACATTCGTCAGCTGCAACCAACGCACAGACCGATAGACCGGCTGCACATAAGACTGCTTGGACATTGCGCATCTGGGAAATCATCATTAATTAATTCTTTGAAATCTGGAATATTTAGTTTTGGTTTCTTTCGAAGGTCTAAAAGTCAGAATTGCAGCGCAAAGGTATATTATATTATATAAAACATAATTATATATAAATAAGAATGATGAAATAAATTTTAAATAATAAAAATTATTGACATTTAGAGAGAACCAAGTATTGAACTGGACGTGACAAGTAAGCATGGTTCTCTTAGCTTTGAATATAGCGACAGCGAATATGAAGGTACTCAAGGAGTGGAGTGGAGTCGTGGTAATGTAGGTAAGCGAATTATATTCAAATACTTGATTTAATAGAGTTGCAATAATGCAACTGAACTAATATAAAGAATAATTATTAGAGTATTTTAAGATTTAACAATATACGGATTGACCAGGTGGCGAGTGCGTCTTTTGGGAACTATGTGGACGCGAAGAATTTCTGGCGTCTTATCACTATGTACTTACATTCCAACAGCCAGCAGTGCATCTTATTACAGTCAGTCTGAGAGAGCCGTTGACCGTTCAACTTCAGCAGATAAAATTCTGGCTGCAGTTTATTTTAGACCGCATTAATCCAAGTAACGTTGGTAAGACATTGTTATGCTTCAAATTTTTTTTTTATATCATAATTTATTTTGAAGCAAAATTACATATTTCTGATTTTTGCAATTGTTTCTTTTATTAAAGGATTTGGCGGCAAATGTAATGATGTAAAAGTAATTTTAGTCGGTACTTACGCGCCGGAACCTGTAGCTCCGAATTCTAATGCCGGCAATCTACTCGCACCACTTTTGCCATTTCTGAAAGACTTTACGTCGATTTTGGGAGATGAACCTCAAATGGTAGCATTGGATGCAACTAATCCCTCTAGTCCTGGCCTCAAACTCCTCAGATCGTACTTAAATAGTGCAAGGATGGAATTTCTCGAGGTGAAGCGATTATATTCTCTGTATATAGTTATATAAATATTTATCATACTTCATATGTAACATTAGAAGAGATGTTATCTACTTCTCATTGCTTTATGCAGCAATTAAAATTGACGAGTAATATTGTAAAGTAATTTAGTAAATTTTTCTTGCTGTAATGAGAATTTATATAATCTCTTCTAATTTTGACATTTTATTTTTGCAATCAAATACAACCCATATATTTTTAATCCATTTAAATCATATATCAGTAAATGCATGATATCAGTATGCTTGATATTAAATATGTGCGAGAGCAGAACCGTTCAATTTTGTAGCTTGTTAATACGAGCAAGTGTGACTAATGCAATCTTGTGTAAATAATTGCATTCTCACAGGAAATTACATACTAATTTGTACAGCATGGGTAATAAATGTGCGCATTAATTCTTCGTGAAACGGTTCTGTTCAATGATGGAATACCTCATTACGCTGTACGTTGTCTGTATAATTCATTCATCAGTCTCGAAATTTCCAGTATCAATTTGCTGTCAAATCAAGCGTTGCCTCCCAGGAGGCAATGTAATGATTTGTATTCACTTAAATAATTTTCCTCTCTTATCATCCATGATGCATGGTTGATTTGATATATATATGTACAAATAATTGAAAGCATTGAGAGTAATTTGTATGTCTCGTGACTCTCGACGAAATTTGATCGTTTGCGATGTTTGACTGATTGAGCGCACCTTTTCTAATAAACGTTTCCGATATCATATTTATATTATATATATATGTATATATGTATATATGTATATATATGTATATATATAATCACATCGAATCAAATTTATTAAGAACATATGTTTTAGTTGCTGATTATTTGGTCATTAATGTTTATTAACATCAGCCTTAATGCATGCAATGCATGATGTAGGATGGACCGGAAGTTGCAGAAAGTATTCTCCGACGTGACACGCCGCGTGCTGCGGCTACGTACGTGCCCCTGGCGAATCTTGATAAACAGGTCGAAATACTTCTCAATTCCTTTAACTAACTGAGTGATGTGTATAAAAACTGAAACTCTGTATTTTGTATTTCAATAGTTGCACTAATGCTTTCTCCCATATATACATACATGCACTATTATTAATCTTAAAGAAAAGAAAAAAAAAGAATCTCTATCTCTCTTTCTTGTATATATATTTTTCGCATCAATGTGTTACTCGGATGGTGCACAATTTCGTTACTATGGATCTTAATCACATATTATAGAGCGCCTTAGTGTGGACCGGTCTCGCCGAAGCGTGGAGGTCGTACGTGCAATCATTAGAAGTACCTCCTTTAATGCTCACACAGGAGGAATTTTTGAATGAGGTTCGAAAGATCAATCCTTTAGTTTGTTTGGAACATTGTAGACATCTTGGATTACAATTACAGGTTTGTAGTTTATAATTATAATTTAATTTACAAAATATGTATTTTCTTCTCTATTATAAAATCCATAAAATAACAGAATTTGGGGGAATGCATTCTTCTACCTGGAAATCTGATAGTACTCAGTCCCGAATGGTTCTGGCAAGATGTACTAAATTGGCAATTGAGTCCCGATCAAAGAGGACGATTGGGTGGTCGAACTACCGGCGTTTATACTTTGGAAGATTTTCAGGCGCGATGTCCTTGTCCCGCTGCTCAAGCTTTGCAAGCTTTACAAGCGGTCAATTTATGCGTTCCGGTACGTTTGAAAAGAGATCTGATCGATCGAATCGATTGATTATCTGACTATCATTATATCTGAATATCATTTTAGTGCGAAGTAGATGATGATGAAGTGGAATACGAAATACCCTGCTTAAATCTCGTAGAACGTCTTCCAGGTTTATGGGAACCATGGAAACCATGCTCAAATGCATTACCTCACGCTGGTTTACGTCTTTGTCCAGAAGAAGCGCCTTTATATCACTTGACAGCGATATTTACGCATTTACAAGTAATTAATGTTCTTACAACATAAAAACATATGGTAATAGAAATATTAAAATAATAAAATCGATATAGGCGCAACTGAGAAAAATTACTCAAGCATGGGATCCGATGAATTCGGATTTATATCAGTGGTGGCGAGGATCAAAATTATGTCTTGGACCTTGCGAAAGCATAATTACCTTTGAAGAAGAAGAACATAGTTGCGTCGAAATCCAAGTTCGCGGGCCACGTAGTTCTAGTGCGCAATGCTTCGCTCTTCTCAGCGTGATCTTAGACGCGATGGATACGACTATTGAATTAGTCGCGCCGGGAATGTTACTCGAGAGACATTGGCTAAGTCCTAGCCAGCTTCGAGAATATGACGAGGTCGGTGAAAATAAAGTCAAATTTATTTATTAAGCTTAAATTTATTTATTATGAAATAAAAAGGTTGATTATATCTAATATGACCGATACATTTACAGGTAATTCACTCATGGACACCTGGCACAATTATATCGGCTTTAATCGATAAAAGTCTCGAAGAAGCGACTCTTAAAAATCCTTTAAATGACCGGCAAGAAACAGTATGGGAAATAGTTGGTTGCGGGCTACCATTAATAGAGAATTACGTTCCTGGACCGAAGCAACCTGTGAAATATATAAAGCCTGCTGTGCAACGACGATTGGCACAGATGCTAGATCCACCTGATCATCACGGAAGAGACTGGTGCTTACTCGCCGTGAGACTTGGTTTAGGGGATCGCGTCGCTCAATTGGATAGTACAGTAGACAGTCCCACTCTGAGGTATTTCTGAAATAGACGGATTGCGTTGTATGTAATACAATTCTTTATATTGAATTACTTTGATCCGCAGGTTGCTAAACTGCGCAGGTGCAGAATGTACTGTTGGTTCGCTGGTACAACAATTACGAGCGCTCGATCGCGAAGACGCTGTGCACCTGCTTCTCACGTATACGCCAATCTACGTGCTATTGATGTCCGACTCGGAAACAGGATCTAATCTTTCCAGATGACGATGTTGCTCTTACCAATGGCGTATTAGCACTTTTTAAATCTTTTTTCTTTTCTGAAACGCCACATGTTTGATGAATTTAAAGCATTGTCTTTCTTATCTCCGCCCAATATAAAATGTACATTAATTTGTTAAGTAAGTGTATATCGTAATATGTAACTTAACTTTAATGATCAATCGCGTTGCACTTCGAGTTGATATTGAAAAGAATCAGTGACATATTTCATAAATTATATAGATATATTAACAAGTTTTCCATTTTTTATAAAATTCAATGTTTATTAATATATTATACATGTATAATTCAGTCAAGTCTTCATCTCATGAAAGTCTTCATTTTTCAGTACTTCTTTTAAATAAGTTATAGACAAAAAATTAGAAATATCAAAGATATGATTTCTGACGAATTTAATAATTATAATTTCATAAGAGTCATAGACAAAAAATTAGACTTTCTATTGATCCGAAATCTACCTTGCCTGAAAGATGGAAGAAAATGCTAAAAAATGATAGAGATTATTTTCATTAAATTGTATAATTTGTTAGTAAACATTAAATTTTTTATAAAAAATAATGGAAAACTTATTTATACACCTATTATTTTATATTTTTTCTGTTTTTTTTTTATTTTTTTACGTTGTACTTACTAGCCTATTATACTATTATAAGGCATTTGTTAAATTCATATATCGATATTTGTGATATTATCGCAAACAGAAATCGATATCTTGTTACGCTTTTCAATTTGCATTAATTATTATGCACTGATAATACGTATCTTCAATCTTTTGTATTATTTAATACTTTTTTTATTTTTTGATAATTGCGCGCTGTGATTAATATCGTGTTAGTAAACTTCTTGTTGTGCAGTTTGCGTTTTTTCTCGTTATAAAAAGCTGTTGTGCCAGAGAAGTGATGCATTTACATATTATAATGCGCGATATGATCATATTTGATATTGATATTGTTTCGAGCGATTTTCTTGAAATGCTGATCTTGATATATATATATATACATGTATTACATCTTGCCAAAACTCTGTCAATATGCACCGCTTTTTCAATACTTCGGAATATTTATGAAGCATATATATGCGCAAGAAGAATGATCATACAATCATTCGCACAGAAAAAGAGAGAAAGAGAGAGAGAGACAGAGAGAGATTCTATTACTTTTGGATATATCGTTCAATGATTGAACGATTGTATTTCTACTAAATTCTATTCGATGTCTTTACTGTGTGCCATGTGCAAAAATTAATGAGTATATATAAAACATGTACTTCAAAAAAAGAATTCAAGATATAACAGTCGCAAATTAACTCTTTTCAAATACGACTAGACTGTATTATTTTTTATTGTCAATGAAATTTCCAATATTGTATAAATTTACTTACGAATCTATACTTGTGAATCGATTTGAAAATCGACTTCACACAATAGGCATATAACAATTAGGAAATATTTATAATTAATGAAATGAACTTGCATCAAAATATTCTTAGGATTTCATTCGCGTAGCTCTCTTGTCACATCTCAGCAGCATCTCATAGTGGCTTACACGAAGAAGTTATATGTTATATAATCTGAGACTGTTGTAAAAATAAATCAATCAAATTATTATAAATATATCTTTCGCTAGATTTAATCGTCTTATTTTTTATTCTTATCGATATTTATATGATGTACAGTTTTGAAATTCTCATTTTCTATTCATAAATTTTTAGATTCATGTCTGAAATTTCACAGATCGGTTGAATTCATAATTCTTAATTTGACGAATTTTGATGACAACTTGGGTCAAATTTTAGATTCAACTTTTTGATCTTCCGAATCCAATGTTAAAAAATAAATTGTTCAATTAAAATTCCAAAATTCTCGAATCTCTTAAGCTTTATTACTCGTTTCATCAGAAGTTTCGTCGAAAGCTCCCGCGTTTGACGGCAACCCTTACTCAACGAAGCTGACCAGCGGGAAGATTCGAAGCTAGTCCTTGTCGATTGACATTTTAATTAACGGATTATAATGTCAATCGTAATAGCCGAAGATTGATAGGGACAGGCTGTTTACAACGAGAAGTCGATTACGTGGCCGATAGAAAACAGGAACGGGATACTTTTCGGGGGCCGAGAATAGCATGGGAACGGACGGATATCGCGTTTCGTGGGCAGCCACATCGATGACAAAGATCGGCGGAGAGCCCGGAGGGTAAGTTTCGGGACGACAGCCAAAGTCCCCAAGCAATTATAGAATTGGATTGAATCGGGGAGTTCGGGAAGGCGGCCGGCACCGTCGTCGACTGATTTCGTTTTATTTTAACTTAGCTGTCGAAGGCATCCGGTTGTGCATTCTCCCCGCGGATCATCGTCGCGATCACAGTGAGTGTCCCCTTTAATAGGAATTTCTCTGATCGTTTAATATTATCGCACAAAATTTATTAAATCTGTCGAGGGGTGCTTTTCACAATCTATTAATCGCGCTCGGTACGCGCGATTAATAGAGTGATAAGATTATCGTTGAATGAAACGAGGTAAAACCTCGCGGTGAGTACGAGATAACTCTTGGTTGCACCACCTGTCCTTTTTCATTATACTTATAAGATACAGATTTTACTCATTAATTAAAATATATATTTTTTAAAATTTTATTAGAATTATTAAAGTGATATTAATTTGATTCATATTTAAATTAAGGACACTATTTATATATTTAATTACATAAATTGTGTTAAGGTGCTTTTTATCTCACTTCTAGCCTATTTATAGTTTTGTGAGATCGAGTAAGATAATTAATAAAGAAAAAACTCGAAATTATCTCGCATCACGATGGAGGCAATCAAGAAGAAAATTGCGGCGCTGAAGCTAGAGATGGATGCTGCGAATGAAAAGGTCGAACTTAATGAAACGAAAGCAAAACAGGAGAATATAAGAGCCGATAGGCTAAACGATGATCTTAGGGATCTAGAGAAAAGATTAATTCAATTGGAACGCGATTACAGTATTACAAAAACTAACTTAGAACAATCAACCGCTGATCTGGAGCAGTGCGAAAAATCTTGGTCCAAAGTATGTAATAATGAATAGCATTAATGATTTTTCTAAATTAGAGCGTCTACAGAAAGATAAACAGTTTTTTCATAATTTCCATCATTTTCATAATATTTTTGCAAAGAAAATTTAATTTTTCATAATAATATGATATAAAATTATTAAAAATTTAAAGTACTATCAATGCTTTAAGTTATATATAAATATTTACTAAAAAATTAAAAGAACTTTTTATTTATATCAATTAATATATATGCAGGCTGAACAAGATCGTACTATTTTGACAAAGAAAGTACAGGAGATCGAAATCCTTCTTCACAAAAAGGAGGAATTACGTCTTTCTGCTCAGACAAAACTAGCACATGCAACTGAACTTGCAGACGATGCACAAAGGTTTATTGTTGTTATTGCAAGTTTTAATTTTATGTAAATTATGCATTACAATCGTAAATATGAATTTTTAAGTATGAATTGAAACGAATATTATACAGTAATATTCAATAAGCAACATTATTTTTTTCCTCTTACAGAATGTGTAATGTTTTGGCGGATAGAAGCCGTTTAGACGAAGAACGTATGGAAAAATTGATGTCGGAATTGAAGGACGCGAGATTAATCGCTGAAGATGCTGATGCGAAATCCGATGAAATAGCTAAGAAATTACAGTTCGTAGAAGAAGAGTTGGAAGCTGCTGAAGAGAGAGTGAAAACTAGTGAAGCGTAAGTGTATTAAAGAACTTACATTTCATATCTGTATATAAATTATTTCACGTTGAAAAAATTTTTTACAGCAAAATTGTAGAACGCGAGGACGAACTCTTTATCGTGCAGAATATTGTGAAATCTCTTGAAGTATCTGAGGAAAAGGTGACATAGTATAATCGTAAGAATTATTATTGATACACACGCTGCATTATATCATTTCTGAATTACTTTAATTTCAGGCGAATCAACGAGTAGAAGATTTTAAAGTACAACTGAAATCTTTGAAGAAGAAACTGAAAGAGGCAGAGAAACGTGCGATCAACGCGGAAAGAACGGTCAAGACCTTGCTAAAGGAAGTGGATATGAAAGAAGGCATGAATTAGCATATTATACTGAAAGATTTATTAAAAATTAATGAAAAATTACTGAAAAAGATAAATAATATTCATTTTTTCGTGTGCATTGATGACAAATTATTATTTGTTTTTAGATGAGCTCAGGGAAGAGAAGGAAAAATATAAGGCAGTCTGCGACGACATGGACGCAACATTTGCCGAGATGACAGGATATTAAAATTTTGGAAAAAACTTGATTTGATTTTCGCTATTATTCTTACGCTTTTTTCGTTTATTCGCTATCATCTAACATAAACATATTCATTATTTTGATCCACTGTGCTTAAATATTGCGCAATTCATTTGTTTTATCATATAAAGTGCCATGAGCAAAATTAAAAATAATCGCTTCGCGCAATAATCCGCTGATAAATAAGGCATACAAATATCGCTTGCTATTATAATTGCTTCGCTTTGTTCGTAACGCCTTGCCAACTGGTTCACGGTCACTCATACTTCATGTCGATCGAAGATTGATGATTTCATCTATTTTTTCTTTCAGAGGCACATGAGAAGGATTTATTGTCGTCCGTTACGCGCAAACGAAATTATGATCGCATATCCTTTTTATCGTTCTACATAAAATCTGTATTTTCAATAAACGATACCACAAATCATCCTAAGAGAGAGAATGGAGATATCTACAAATTATTTTTTTATCCTTTATCATATTATAATGCTCTAATTATTATATAATGAAGATTCAAAAAAATGACTAAATAAATAATAAAAATAATAAATAATATTTAATGTTTTATTTTTTAGTTATTTTTTTGGTATGGTATTTTAATATTAATAATATTTTTTAAATATATTAAATATATTAATATATATTAAATATATAATATATAATATATATAATATATATAAATATTAAACATATTAAATATATAATATAATTTTTTAAATATATTAAATATATTATTTAAAATAAATAAAAAAATATATAAAACTGCGAGATGAAAATTACACTATAAACTATAACGTTTAGTATATGTTGAAAATATTATTAAGTTTAGAATGCAATGAATATGTCTGTTATTTTAAATTACAAAATATATCTTAAAGACATTATAAGATTTTAAAATGCGATATAATTGCTAAATATAATAATAACATTACTATTTTTATATTAATTATTTATATTAAGCTTAAAATAAAAAATTTACCATCAACGTATCTATGATCGGCAGTGACAATCGACACAACAAAATACATTACTAATACTTTAAGAAGCTCAAGAATTCGTTTGAGTCTAACTAAAATAGCAATCGCTTTTGTTCTTTTGCATTGCATTGAGCCTATAAAACGTTGTCCTCATCGGTCACTGAGTACAGTAACCTGTGAGCACATCGCATTTGATACTTCGTTAGATTCTACAGTAATTTAAAATTTCATCTAACAAAGTGTGTGAATTATATTAAATCAAAAATCATTTTTATATATAATAAGAAAAGATATTTCAAAGTGAAAGTGTTTATATTCAAAGTGTTCATCCATTCAAAAAATATTTTCAGCCAAACATTTAAGATTAATTAAGAAACAGAAATAATATCCCAAAATAAAGATATCAAAAAATAGTTTCTGTACAATAAGCATTTAATTAATCGATAAAAATTATTTCGCGATTTCTTGCGGATTGTTAAGATAGTTTTAAAGATAATTTAGGATTGCTCAATTTTGATTAATTTTTGAAAGAAATATTTCCAATATATAGCTTTCCAAGGAAGCCATGAATGCCATTAAAAAACAACTGCAGATGCTAAAGCTCGAGAAAGATCTTGCGATGGACAAAGCTGATTTGTGCGATCAGCAGGCAAAAGAGGCAAATCGGAGGGAAGAAAAATTAAGAGATGAAGTTCGCGAATTGGCGAAAAAACTTATGCAAATGGAACATGATCTCAAAGTGAGCAAGGCTCAATTGATAAAATCAAATAAGGACCTCGAAATGAAAGAGAGAATCTATATCGTGGTTAGTGAGTTATAAAAATATATTACATATATATTTTCAATTCAATCTATTTTTCATCAATTGTAAAATTGCAGACACAATCAGAACTGGCTGTATTGAATAGAAAAATGCAACAGTGCATGCAGAATTTAGAAAAATCCGAGGAACGACGTTTGTCGGCTCAAATGAAGCTCACGCAAGCCATGGAAACTGCAGAAGATGCAAAGCGGTATGTATATTTATTTTTATATAAAATGTATTATATAACACAATACTTTGTATATTAATTTATATTATAATAATATCATTAAGATTTATACTATATTATTTAGTTTATTATTTAGTATTACTATATTATTCAGTTTATTATTAAGAGAGAGTTTAAGTTTTATTATAATATTATTAATCTATATATTATATTTTTGTGAATTTTTGCAATAATTATCAAGAGTAGTTATGCATAAAAACATAAGAAATATTATTAATATCTGTTACTTACAACTATTTGCTATAAATATTAAATTTTTATTGATACTATTATCGTTTCCATCGTGAAAAAAGTGTCATGAATTATTATAATCGTAAAATAATTCCTATTCAGTATTTGTAAAGTCCTGGAGAATAGGAGCAAGCAAGACGAAGAAAGGATGGACCAATTGATGACACAATTAAAGGAAGCGAGGCTTATCGCTGAAGACGCTGATACTAAATCGGATGACATTTCAAGAAAATTGGCATTTGTCGAGGACGAGCTTGAAGCGGCAGAAGAAAGAGTTAAATCAAGCGAAGCGTACGTATTGCACGCAATTCTCTAAATATAAAGGCTGCATTCTTTTCGACTGAATCTATTCTCATCTATTTTTAGTTTGCTTAAATAAGAACATCTTATAACGTATATTCTTCTTTTGAAAATCACTTATTTTCGCAAGATTTTTTTATGTATATGCAATATATGAATTTAAAAGATTTTAGGATATGTATTAATGTAATTATGCATTTTAGGAAAATTCTCGAGAGAGAAGACGAGTTATTTATTGTCGGCAATATACTGAAGTCCTTAGAAGTGTCCGAAGAGAAAGTAAAAATTGTTTTTTATCGAACATTTTATTTATATTTCAAAAATCAAAGAAAATGAAAGAAACTATTTGTTGCAGGCTAATCAAAGAGTGGAAGAGTTTAAAGCGCAATTAAAGGAATTAAAAGTAAAATTAAAAGCTGCCGAAAAGCGTGCTATAATTGCCGAGAAAACTGTCAAGATATTTACGAAAGAAATGGATAAGAGAGAAGGTAATAATCATATATTATGCATATTATATATCATATATGCATATATTATATGTGCGTTTCTATAAATTTTAAATTCTTCAAATTTGTCAAAATACCAATTATCATTAATGAAAAACATGATTGTTTACATTTTTAGATTACCTATCAAAAGAAAAGGAAAAGTATAAATTCATCTGCGATGATTTGGACTCTACGTTTTCAGAACTTACAGGATACTGAACTCGTTTTCGCCAAATGTTCAATCGATTATCTCTAATCGAGTTTGCATTGCGTAAATATAAATAAAATTTTAATCCTTACGCGTTTATCATTGCTTTCCAGGTTCGACCAGAAAAAATTCACTCTGATATTTTACACGATATCAATTTATTTAATCGATTCTACGATCGACACAATGCATCAAAATGCCGTACCACAGATTTAATACAGTTTAAATTTAATCGCACAATTCGTTTTTTTAAATCGTACAATCTCCGATCGCAGAACGGAGAGAAAACTTGCGAGCTTCGAAATGAATTTCATTGACAATGAGACTCCCGCGATGTCTCTCGCACCGTTTCGCATCTCGCACTCGCTTTCTTTTTCTACAACGACGTTAATCGTTAGTTACAATAACAATTATCCGTTTGATTTATTCACTCATCTCCATTCATATCGATGCAACAATTAAAGTGCATTCTCCGAGCTGCACGGATTATCGCAAAGAGTGACGGGGGATGCACCGAGTTATATCACTGCATCATCCTTCGAGGACCGTATAATCATTGCGAAAAAATTATCTTATCGCAATCGAGATCTTAACGTATCAGATGTAATCAGGTAAATATAGAAAGATTATCAAAGTCGGATTATATTTTTGTAAAAAAATTGCTTACAATCGGTAAAAAATTCGTTGATTAATTTTCCTCGAGATCGTTGATTATAAAAAACTTTTCATTAATTGTTTATATACGATTATGATAACGAAGACAACTGGTCCCCATAAAAGATTACGAGAAGAGATTGACAGAACTCGGTCGGTCCATGACGCAAGAAAAATGTACAAAAATCGTGTCGACAACAACGTCTCGCAATCACACCACGAAATGACGAATCGTCCTTTGTCTTGTCCGAAAATCGTCCTATCGATTTAATCGAATACTACAAGTTTGATTGACGTGCTTCCCTTATATACATTAACGTACGCGTCGCACATGTTTCTGCACGCGCCTTGATGCCCGTGTATTCAACATATGTATTTATATACGTATATCTACGGCCTCGTCTTCGTAGTGTCGCGCACACAGTTTTCCTTAAGTTACCGATATTATTTTACGTTAAATCTGTGAAATTTTTAAACGTCGCTTACAATATTCTGACATGTGAGACTAGAATTTTTCTTAGCTTTTCCTAAATTGTTTGTTCGTAAGATCAGTTATCGTCGACGTGTGTACAGAGGACGTACAATAAATTCGGAACGATCTCCTTCGCGCTTAAATAAACTAGGAAATGGCAATACGTGCGCCGTCACAGAGAGAAGTCCGAATATAAAACACCGTATATTATACTTAACTAGAGTGACGCTTGGAAGAGGGAGGAAGAGGATCAACAATAACTCCGTCACTTGGATGTCGATAAAAGTTACAAAAAACGTTCTTTTTTTAAAGTTATGTAAAGCGATCTCAACATTATCCCATTTTTTATACGGTAAATGATCTGCGGAATGGCAGTGTCGTGGAAGTATTGGAAGCTCGCAAGGCAGTAGGATGCGCGCGTTTAATTAATTCTAACTGCAATTTTTTATTAATACTTTCGATTTCAGTCTGAAGAAGAGTTGCGCTGGTACGACTTATTGCATAATAGTAAGATTGGTCGCGTCGGATCACGGGGTCTCGAGGTGCGCGACATTAGAAGAGAGATTTCTTAGATGAGGAAGAGAGAGAAAGAGAAAGAGAGAGAGACGGTTCTCTTTCTCTGAAGCGCCTTGGCCGAAATTTATAGCGCAGGAAACGAGATCGCTGCGATCAGCTTCGCGCTTCGATATTTCCGATCGTGTGTATATCGCGCTCCGCGCACAGAAAAAACGCTCTACATAGAAGTCTTAGGATTAATAACGGACTTAAAGTAATCAACGGTGCTATTATTAATACGTATATAAACTTTACAACGCAACAGAGCCCAACCATCAACGATCTCCGTCTTGGAGACTTGGAAGTCAGTGTCTTCTCTCTTCCCTAATTCATTCGTATCTCATCCCGATTTTCAAAGTAACATGCACGCACCAAACATAGACGTTCATTATTTCTAAATGTGGCTTTAGACATTTATGGGGAAAAGAATTTTTATTCAAATGTTAACAGGTAAAATTGAAAAAATTCAGATAATGAAGAATTATTTTATATTTAAAAATAATCAAAAATTATATCCATTTAAATAATAATAAAATGAAATAAAAATTATAAAAATTAACATATAAAGAAATTATGATAAATAATTTTATCGACATCTCTTTCAAACATAACAAACGTACTTCTTGTATGGATTAAAATAGCATAAAATGATGCAAATATATTCATTTCACATAAATAAAGCGTATTGTAATAAATATTACATATAATAATTCTTCTAAATACTTTATTATAATAAAGTTATCAGGAAAATGTAAAGAGATATGGATATGAAAATGACAAAATTAATACATGATAAATAAATAAATTAATAAAATTAATGCAATAAATTGGTACAAATAAAGAAAGATTTTTTGTAGAATTCGAAATGGGAGCAAATGCAGCCTGCCACCGTTCGTTTCGTTCATGATGCGCGAAGGATTCTTCTGTGCTCTGTTCATACGATTAAGTCTTTGGTCTCGAATGGATCGCCCGCCGGCGAACAACTCGCAGCGGTCTGAGCAAATTGTCGTTTTGGCACGCATTCGCACACGCGATTCGACAATCATCCACACACTCGGACTCGGACTCACTCACGCACTCTACGCATTCCATGCGTCGCATTACGGACAAGGAAGAGGAGACGCATGTACTTTAGATACTTTCGTCTAACTCTTTCTCGATCAACGAAGAAACACATTTATAGAAGAACAGTTCTATAGCTTCGCATTTTCTGTCGTATATTATTAATTAAATATTAAGAAAACTGTTATATTTGCGGAAAATGTATTTTTTTTAATTATAAATTATAAATTGAGTTATGAGAGATCATAATTATTGAAAAAATTAGTAGCTTTTTTTTCATTATAGTAAAAAGTCATGCTTTTTTATTCATCCCGATATACGCGTCTGTTCTTCTATATTCGTCCTCGTTGCTTTGATCTTCTTTACAATCTTATTTATATGCACGTCTCTCCCTATCAATCGTCGTTAACGAGTAGAATGTAATTTATCTATCGACAGAAATGTGCCCGTGGCAGTCGGATAGTTCTACTAAGTGAGCACAAGGGAATTCTCGTCGAGATATAAGAAAGAAAGATCGATTTACTTAATCTTTGGCCCACAGGATTGAGGAAGGAAGGAGAGGAGAAAGAAAGGAAAGAGAGTCCCTACTATAGAAGAGTGATACCGTGCGATGGTACAGATTAAACGGCGATGGAGTAATCCGACGAAGGATTGTTCTGAGTGCTCGGCCGTGACCATAGGGAACTCCTCAGGCCAAGTTTTAGCTTCTTCAGGGAATCAATGTCGCACTCGGCCTCGCTGAGCTCCGGCCGATCCCCGTTTCCCGGCGTAGGCACAACCGCCCCCTGATTGCCGACGAACGCGGTCTCCGCGACCGAGATCGGCGGTAGTAGCGTGCGTAGAGAGCTCCTGCTGGGAACATGCCATCTTACGAGATAGCCAAGAGAAACAGACGAAACTTACTGATGGATGCTGCGAATGAACGATGACAAGTACTCGAGTGATTAAGTGTCACGAATGCTTAATTAACACTTGTGTCAATATTTTTTCGTAGTAATTTTTTTAGTATCATAATTTTTTAGGATATTTTTAGCTTCGGATATCTGATTCAAATGAGATGAATTTACAGTCGAGGGGACCACTCAAATACTTTAGACACTGCGTGAAATTTTCTGGGAAACTAGAAATTGTGGAGAATTATGGATTATGATAAAGAAGCTAGCGATGATGATTTGCGTTTGATGAACTTGAATCATTACCTTGATCGCCCCCTTCGTGGCAGTGACTTCTGTTCGGACATGGGAGAAATATCCGAAGAAGTGCTCGACGTGCCATGATAGATAAAATCCGAAACCGCGCGAACTGAAACAACATATCGTTAGAATATCGATGAGTCGATAATGTATTAATTAAATTCAAATTAAATACTATGTTTTAGTTTGCCGGCATCCAGTTGATTCGATGATTCCGTGCGCGAACTTATCAGTTGATCCGGGTCAGACTCGCTCTCGTCGCTCTCGACATCGCCCGGAGTTTGTTGTTTTCTCTGTTGTCGCCTTCTCGACGAGACACTCTTCATGCTCTATGCAGATTAGATCTTTGTGTCAATTGTAATAGGACTTATAACACAGAATTATGTTGCAATCTCCACAATCAACGATATAGATAAAAAAAATTCATTGGAGATTTCTATGTCATGTTCATTTTATATATACTTTATTTTAAAATCAATTATACTTTGTTAATTAAATTCAATTAATTCTCTTTAAATCGAAGAAAAATTTAATAATATAATAATAATATTCTAACAAGAAAAAATCTAACATATACCGTTGCTGCCGGTGGAGGACTCGCGCATCCTTCGGTCATGGCATGCTCGTGATACATGAAGCTGTGAAGAAGAGTATTGTTCGGATGAAGACCGGCCGCTGTGGCCTCCGCCGCGCCTCCCAGTCCTCCCAATGCGCCCAACCCTGCCAGGCTTCCCCCGCCACCCTCCGAAAGCTGGAACGTAGCGTACGGCGAAATGTCCTCCGCTGTCTCTGTAACCCATCAGAGGCATTGCCTACCTTTCAAATCGCGTCGGGCTAACTGTTTCAGTTGTCCATTCGTTTCAAGCGAACGAAGAAGTGCAAAAATTCGCTTCGATTTTCCGTTTGGTTATTATTTCTTAAAGACAGATTCATGAATATTTTTCTTCACATTTTCAAGACTGTAGTTTTTTAAGAAGTAACAATATGTATAAGAGGTTTCCTTTTAATTTAATAATTTATTAACAATCAAAAGATTAAATGAATTTAAAATTAACTTTATTAATTTCTTCTCTATTCCACATAAATATATACATATAATAATGATGTATTTTTGAAGTGTGTTGTCTTCTCCGCAGCTTCATTTTTAGGCAATTTTATTTTACCATCGAGCGGCGCTAAAGGCGGCCGACTCTTACCTGTGCAACAGTAATTATAATACCAAACCTGGCAGTTGTCCAGATCGAAACAAAGGTTCACCTGGAATCTTGTCGGGCCCAGCGCCCGTATTCGCCGCTTGCAGAGCCACTTTGTGTATCGTGGCATAATAACGCTCTCGTTGCGTCTCGGCATTTTGTTGATTCTCTTGTGATTCTTTCATCGGCCGTTGCACTTGACCTCCTAAATATCCTGGCGAACATATTGTTTTGTCAATCTTTTTTTCATCTCTTTTATACAGAAAAATATTTGCAGATATTTATATTAGAATATAGTATTATTGACAGGCTATATTTAGATATTAAATGTAAATTAACAACAAAAGTTGTTTTAGGAAATAAATTTGAGAAATAATTGCACGTTTGTCAGACTCACTATTCCTCCAACGAAAGGCGACAATTATCACTGCGGCGACCAGCGCGATAGTAGCCACGATCAATGGCAGAATCACTTTGACATCTGCATAAAATGGCATAGCCGACGTTATTCCCCGTTTTGACAATCCTGGAGGCGGTGATTCTGCAAAGTTACAGGAACACAGTGCTTTTGGAAATATGTGCTTAAACATAATAGTTTCATCAGATGATGTAAGTAGATCCTCAATTGTCATTCTCTAAATTAATGAAAATTGCGCTATTCTTATATTAATTGTTCTTTAATTCTATATTATTTTGATCTTAAATCTGTTTTCAAACTTACCACCTTCCTTCGTCAACGTTACGAACGTGAACTCTGCTTGATTACTACCGGCTACATTATGAGCCTCGACCTTGAGCTGATAGACTGAGCTGGGTGCTAAATTTGTCACAACGAATCGCCGTTGCATTTTGACGTTGTTTGATACTAGAGTCCAGTGAAACTCATTCATAGGTTTGTATTGAATAACAAAATACTTAATGGGGCACCCATTATCGGGCCAGACGTGCAATCGTAGCACCAAAGTAGTAGAGTTCGGGCTGACGAAAGCGGCTGCTGGTGGGATTCCTGGAGCTTGACCCTGAGTTCGAACCGAGAGCACCGGAGATGGCGGACTACTGCCAATCTTATTGTGCGATGTTAGATACAACTGATACGTGTTGCCGCACAGAAGCCCCTATTAAGAAATTACAATTGTTTACGTATTGTTTCGATCAATTTAATTTTAGCTTAAATTATTAATTCAATGACAATTAACATGTAATAACTAATTAATCGTGCTTTAATATTTGTTATTAATCTCATCAATATTTCAAATATTTCTTGATTTCAAGCAAGTTTACCTTCAATTCGTGATTAGTAGCATGACGAGATAATTGTAACTCATCGAGAGTACCGTGAGTAGTTCGATAATATAGTGTGTAACCCGTCAATGGTGCACCACCGTTATGCTCGGATTTCCAATGTAATAATATACTACTCGACGTAGAGCTGGTTACATATAATACAGGTGCGTTGGGTGGAACTGCAACAGTCGATAGTTATTCTAGACTACATTAATATTCTGCTATAGTCGTTAAATTAGAATTTACGCAAATTGATTTAGCTCAATCAGTTAATTAAAATCAGCTTATTAAAATCTACTTAGCAATATATTAGTATTCTAATTGTAGTATTCTAATTAGTATTCTAATCGTAGTATTCTAATGTAGCAATATTATAATCTCATTATAATAACGTTATTATTCATATATTATAATCATCATAATATCGTAGATAAATATATAATCATTTTAATAATTCATGCTTCTAACATAACATTGTAAGATACTTTCTTACAATGTTCTTGCTTATTAAAATATAAGCATGGATTAAAAATGAAGAAATGAATTAATTGCAACAGAGAATTACCTTGCACCGTGAGAGTATAATGCAGCTTATCGCTGCCTTGAGAGTTCTCCACCTGACAGGTGTAATTCCCGCTGTCCTGCGACTGAAGATTCGATAATACGAGCTCTCCGGTCGTCAAAATTTGCACGTTTCTGGCGGAATCGGTGCGCAATTGCTCCGTGGTGCCCTTGTACCATTCTCTCGTCGGATCTCCGACCGCGTTACATGCCAAAGTGGCCGAACTCCGCCATGGACGGACCACGTGTCCGCCGAAGGACGTGATTCTGGCTGGCACTCGATTTGTTGGCACCTGCGCCGTCACCCTCGAACTCTGACCTTCGCCCATCCGGGTACTGCCGGTTACCCAGAATTGATACTCCACGTGTTGTTGCAAGTCGGTCGCCTCGAAATACGTGCTTGTGGCCGGTAACGTCTTCTTACCGTGATTGAGTTCTTCCCGTCCATCAACGACTCTGCAAATTTTTTTCATTATCTTTGCGAATTTGATAAGAAAAAAATAAGAGTGAAAGAATTTAGTCTTATGCGAGATGTTAAATAGCAAGATCTCGGCCATGTAGATAGACAGACAAGATGTGAGTAACACGAATTTTTATTCTTACTGTTTATAAAAGATATTGTCTTATTTTACTTTATTTTTACCTTGTATAAAGATTGTACTTCGTAATAACTCCATTCGGTTCGAGTGGAGGTAACCATGAGATAAAGAGAGCTTGCGGTGAGCTTACTACGACTTTGATATCAGCCGGACTGCCTGGCACTAAATGAAAAACAAGAGAAAAATACTTATTAAAGTTTTAGCGAAAGAGATTATTTTGAAATGTGTCAAATAAATCACCATCTTCCTCCGTCTGACAGTAAATTGTTGTGGAGGGCACACCGTCGCCGATTCTGGTAAAAGCCAAAACTTGGATAGTATAATTAGTGTACCGCCTAAGTCCAGTTAGAACCGTTGTTAGAGCGTTCGTTTTGCGAACCTGTCATGAAATAATCAACTAATTAATTACGATTAGGAGAACATGTAAGAAACAAATAATTAATTTGAAAGAATAATTACCTCCATTTCATCTACTCCTCGCCACGCGTCCGCCAAAAGTGGTTCGTAATTTAATTTGTAGCCTTGAATAATACCGTTGCTGTGCGTATTCGGCGGAGGTTGCCAGGACACTTGCAAAGACTGAGAAGTGAGTGCCGCGCATCTTACGTCGTCTGGTGGCATGCTAGGAACTACAAACAATCATTTATAAGCGATTGTCTTAAAAATTCATCTTAGAAATAATAGAAAAAAAGAAGAAGTAAGAATAAAGATTTTTAAAAAAATTTATAATAATCACCGTCTTCCAACGTCTGCGTGAGCAATGGTTCGCACAAAGGTCCTGGCCCAACCTGATTATAAGCCTGAACGACTAGAGTGTATCTAGTGTAAGGCCTGAGACCTGTAAGTCGAAGCTCTCCGCCACCTTCCTCTCCATCGCCTGATACAGAGCTGAAGTTATACGATGGATTGCTCGAACTGAAAAAAGAACATATTGTTTGTTCTCTTCCGCTAAGGTTTATTCACAATTCTTTAAAAATTTATTTATAGTCTTTCTTAGATACGATTAGTCAAAAGAGATGTTCAATTTTAAATATCATTTTAATCAAAATATCCAAATATATGATTACAAATTTATATAATGTATTTATTATATTTTTATATTATGTATATATTTTGTGCTTGAAAGTTAAGTTTTCTCAAATAACAGTTACCTCGTTTCTTTGTAACCGACGTTGAAACCTTGTATATCACCGTGACGAAGTTCCGACAACGGCGGTGACCAACTGATGAGAATCTCGGAGGAGGAAAGAGCTCGAGCTGCGAGATTCATCGGCGGACCAGCTGGTCTCTGCGGTTCGGTCCTGACGACAAGTTCCGCCGAAGGGACAGATCGACCCGCTGGACCTTCCGCTATCACGCGTATAGTATATCTTGTGGCTGGTTTCAGGTCATCGATTAATGCCGCATACGGCAATGGTGGTCCGGTAAATTCTTGATGCTGCCACATACCACCTGGCAAGTTCGATTGTATCATTAAAAATGATAAATTGGAAGAAAATGAATTCTTATGTCAGATGATCAAAACAAAAGCTAAACTTTGGAGAAATGCATTGAAAGAATATAAACAAGAATGCAGACAAATTTGATATATTTGATTTGTTGATATTGTGATTATTTTTTGCTGTTTGGATAAATAAGTTACAATTTAGAACAAAATAATTTTTAACAAAATGTGAAATTATAATTACTTAAAACTAAAATTTATATATATTAAATTTTATTTCATGTAAATAATAATTTACCTTCACCCTCCTTGTACTGAAGAATGTATTTGGTGACTTCGCTAGTGTCCTGCGACTTGTGTTGCCACTTAACGTTAATGCTACGACTCGCCACCATGGCAGTTTCTAGGGCGTTCGGTGGTTGTGGTGGCTCTAAAACGTGCGGAATTCGATATTAATGCACTCATGTGTCGATATATATGCGCATAGCGCAAGAATATTACATTTGGAATTCAATTATTCTATATTGGGGCGAATTGACCTATAAAACGTACCTTGCACGAGGAGTTGCACCAGTTGCTGATCGCGGCCGTAAAGATTATTCGCCTGGCAAAAATACGCACCGCTGTCGGCGGCTTCCGCCGATGAGATTTGCAGTTGCGCGATGATACCATCCGGTGTTACTTCCTGCTTCACTGCGACGCTTTATAGCGAATTTATCAAAGTCCATTAAAAACTTTGCATCCGAGGTACAATTATGAAATATTCATGCACTGTCACATCGCATAGAAGTGACATACTAATATTTTACAACTCCCTTTGAACAACACATTTCAGTATTCTCTTAACAAACGGATAAACGGATTATATTTGGTCCTTTCAATTGGATATATGGTGCGTTTGCATTTTTCAAGTGGATAAACTTCACGTGCCTTCTCTATTATCAGCCAGGCATGCATTATTAATACTTTAACCGTCATATTTCATTTGCTAAATTCCGCTCGACGCGATCGATTTATCGAGAATAACGCGCGGTTCGCAATAAACGTGGCACACTGAACAAGACTGAACGATAATTTAACGAGAATCGTAGCAAGGTAGAGATTTTGCGCCATGGATTTTAGTTAATTCATCGCGTATCGATTTATCGCGTCCGCGCAACTCCTTTCGATGATTATATTACGTACAGTTAATCCCAACTTACCGGTAATTCGTCGAGGGATTAAGCTCGCTTTTGCCGCCTTTCAGCCAAGTAACGGTAACCGGCTTATCGCCGTGTACCTCGCAGTGTAACGTCGCCGTGTCTCCTTTCTTTACGGTTACGAGTCGCGATGGTGCGGCGAAATACGGAGATGCTGTAAAACCATAAAGCAACACATAGAAAAGCTGACTAGTAAGATGAAAATAGAGATAGAGGCTTTATTTGTATTATTTATATCACGCTCATTATGTCACGTATCATTGAATAGAATTTAATTACAAGATACGATTTAAACATTTGACTCACAATTGACTTTTAACTGCACGACCTTGCCTAAGCCGCTTCCTATGCCGTTGTTCGCGTGGCATAGGTAGAAACCTTCTCTGTCTTCTTTCACATGTTGCAGCAACAGCGTGCCGTTGCTGAGGATTTTAGTATACGTTCTTTCACGCAACTCCTCGTAATCACCGGCCTTGCTTCCTGTTAAAAAATGTATCGCATAAAAAGTTAACTAATGCTTTAATTAAAAAATTAAAGTATCTCATCATACATTTTAAGCTCAAAAAATAGAATAATTTGACAGAAAGTATCTTGCGATAAAATTAATTAGTTTCCAACAAACTTTGATAAATGTAAATATCACACGATAAAAATTTGTATAAAAATGTATAATTTGTACGAAATTGTTTAGTCATCTCACCGGTGGCTTTCTTCCAGACGATCGTCGGCGTCGGGACGCCCTGCGCTTGACAATGCAAAGCAACGTGGCGATTCCTCTCGACGCTCACGTCAATCGGCTCGACGATCCATCTGGGTGGCACTGTAACGTCAGAGAGATCCGTTTTACACAAATTCGTCACGAGTGTCAATATTCAACTTATTATGTCTTGCTTTACTGGTCGTTAGCGATTTAGAGACAGGTACGTTTTTCATGATAGACTGGAGAATAGTAAAAAAGCACGACGCGAAAAGGAGCTACGTGAGCTCGTGTCGCATTCAACGCGCGACTCTACGCATCTCGTCAAAGAGATTGAATCTCAAACAAACCGATAAAATAGACATGAAAGAGAGAAAGAGAAAGAGAGAAATGTACACACAGAGAAATGGTCTCGCGTGTGAAGCTCTGGAATGTTCTTTTGATCTTTCTTTCGAAATATACGCTACTTCCGTTCGGTTCGACTTTTGCAGTTCTCAAATTTCCGAGCTTTTGACACGACGTACGCGGCTATTTGCATGATGAAGAAACTGATAAAGATACTGAGAGAAGATACAGTGAGAATGAAGGTAAGTATGTGGGTGGGGTAGAGTTGGAGAATCAGGGGGTTCATGAATCGATGCGAGGCGTATTTCGCGGGTGTCAATTGATATATATATATAAAGTCTCGTGTCATTCGCACGCCAGGCAGCAGCAGACAATTCACCTCTATGTTCAACACGGCAACAGGGTAACAAGGAAAGTGACAAGGGACAAGGGCAATCGATCATCTATTATCTGCAACGTTAACTCTCCTAGGAGCTACCAACAAGGACAACGTAACGAAGGCGTTTCTATGATAGCGCGCGATACAATGGTACGTATACAGCTCTTAGCTCGTAAAAAAAAAGGAAAAAAAAGTAAGACGGATGCTTGGTCGTCAAAGTTTCTCGACCAGGCGCGAGATTTTGCGTCGCGCATCGATTTGTCGACAAAGTCTCGTAGGGGTTGGTTCTTGTACGATTAGGTGTATTGTTTGGCAAGGTTCTACTTCTTACTGTGGTGAAAAAAACGCTGCACAAGCGAGATACTGTGAGTGGGAGTTTTCAACGTTTTACAAGACGGCAAAATATCGGCCACGCATCGATCGCGTGCGACAATATATAATATATATAGATAGATAGATATAGATATATAGACGTATATGTATATAATATATATGTAACGTGAGTATACAAATATACTCGAGCCCAAACGATGGCGTGTGAAACAAGTAGAACTCTTGGAAAGTGGTACGCAAAGGGCAGGATGTGTCTGGGTGCGGACCTCGTGAAGGAGGCGAATAATAATAATGATAACAATAATAATAATAATAATAACAATATATATGTATAAGTACCCGCGTCTAACGACTAGTTCGATAAAGTATGAATTTAATTAATATATATACTACTAGCCTACATTACCAGTCGCTAACGGGACGGAAGATGTACGCTCGAATTTTATTCGGCTCCTTTAAATCCATTCTTGAGAACTTAACGCTCCAATTTCAGTGAGTTTTAAAATCTTTTTATTACTCTTTTAGAATTGTTCGTCGTAGTTTTACGAAAGAGAGCTTTCAAGTGTATTATGCGTTTGGCATCTTCGTCCCATTGCGACGAAAGAAATATAAAAATGAGAAAGAGAGACGGACAGAAAGAGAGAAAGAGAAAGAGAGTGAGAAAGAGATAGAGAAAGACGGATACAGATAGATAGAGATGGTGAAAAGACATGCAGAAGTGAATAAAGGTCTTCCAACGAGCCCAAAGAGCCAGCGCAAAGATCGGTGAAGTTGGTCGTGAGCGTAGTGGTACGTGCTCGCACTCGGGTGATCAAGATACTTGATATACATAGGTATATAGATAATCAAATATAATTTTATAAACATACACATATACAGAAATATATATATACACGTAAAATGTGCAGGCAGAGTGATCTACGGCTACGTAAAGAAATCATGCCGAATAAATTATCGATGCTCACACGCACGCACGCATCTCAGGCCAGAAAAAATCTTTTTCGTTTTCATTTATTGTAGCTGCAGATGTTGCTGTTGTTGTTGTAGTTGTTGTTGAAACGAGTAAAAAATAAGGAAAGGTGCAAACTGTTACCTTTATTATTCGGTCAAGTCAAGCAAACCTCGGGGGTCCACGAGATACCGACGCATTCCCAGAGAGCCAAAGCAACGCAAATGTAATACACACTGTGTCTGGGTTAAGAAGGAAAGTTCTGAATGGATTTTTAGGATAAATTCGTTAGGTTAAGGAACGGAGGTAGAAGAGAAAGAGAGAGGGAAAAAGGGTAGGTGCATAATGATCGTGATCTCGCCCGGGGGTAAATATGCTGTCGTTCGAAATTACGTGGTATCGTCTTTAAGCCGTGGCCAATGTGGACTACAGTCACTCTAAATGTCACATCCTGGCGAGAACACAGCTATGATGAACTATGGTGAAGCGGGAACCGAGTCAATAAGCGCGATGATATGTCGATGGCGATGGATGATGAAATAGCGACTGAGATTGGAGAGCGGTTGACAAGGAGCTGTGGAATGGATGTTCGCAGGATGACGTTCGACCCCGAAATCTCGAAACTTCTCGTTACAAATATCTAAGTACAAAATGATTGAAAATTCGTTTAACAACTTTTCTCGACAATATATATATATATATATATAACGTACTTTATAATTCAACTTTTCGAAAAATTGTTTTATTATTAAATCATATGGATATGTATGCTTTTTTTCTAGATATTTTAATTGAAGCTCACACATTTGTAGATTTAATGTCAAAGAACTCAATATATGTAAACACAATTTTATATAAGATTCCTATAAAAATTTAGAAAGAATACGATTAATAATTAAAAATCTAAAAATTAATAATTAATAATTAATAATTTAATAATCTAATTTTTAGATCCGGGATAAAACAATTATGGACGAGGCGATTATTAGGAACGCAAGGATAAGGGTCGGCAATCATCTAGTTACCTTTTACCTGTAGCTTGGCCGTGTACCTGACCTCGGCGGCGGGGTTCGCGGCGACGCAGGTATAGTCGCCGGAGTGCTCGGCCGCAAGATTCGTTATACTGAGGAGGCTCGAGTAGGGATCCAGTTGGGAGACGTTTGCGACGGAGGCCAGATTCGGCGGCAGGGGAAAAGGATTTTGACCATCTTTCAGCCAGGATATGGTTAGGGGTGGATCTCCCGCCGCGACCCCGCACACCGTCCGCGTCCGCATCCCCTCGGATAGTCCCTCTTGGAACGTAAATGGCTCAATAATAGGGGGTACTGGAAAAGGTCAAGAGAGAAGAGAGAACCATACGTGAGAGCAAGAAAAAGATGGCACCAAAAAACGCAAGAACCTTGTAATACCAGGTATATGTGTTCTTTTTCATATATATATATATATATATATATATATATATATATATGTATATATATACGGATATATATATATATGAAAAAAAAATATATATATATAAGTTTATGGTATGTGTATATATATATATATATTTCTTATTTTTTTTCGCTTTCGTTCCTTCCGCTTCTCATATAAACAGTGGTACGTCCATGTATATGTATAGATATATATATAGAATATAATATGTATATGTAGAATATGTACAATAGAGGCAGTATAGTAACGTAGCAATGTAGAGGAGAGAGAGGGTGGCCCCGCCGCGGACCTGCCCCTGACGCCCTCACACCTTATACACTTAAATTGACATCGCACACTTGCACGCAGCATCCGATTCTTTCCAATATAAGAGCGAGCGTTCGTTCGTCTTTCCGAAGCTACCGCGTCGTTTCCTTCAAGATATTTAATCATCAATTGCATATCTCAAATATAAGCTCTTAAAAAGATTCTTTATATATTTTGTTAGTTTAACTTTTCTAAAAATTAAAAATATAACGCGGATATAGATTGTTAGATGCAGGAGGAAACGCGCGGCGTCGCTCTCGAGAAGTCGAAGTGCGACTTCCCTTCGAGGACGTGTGGAAGAGGTAGAAGCGGGTATCGTGCATAAGGAAGAGTCACGCTAAGCGTGAGCAATCTTTAATTACAAATCACCAAGTCTCTACGTTCCTTGGTGAAAAGTCGGCGAGGTCATCGTCATGGATCGCTTGGAAGCATCGTCCGATTTAAATTTTATTACTCTTCTTCGCATTAAACTTTACGACAGATCTCGCGAATTCTCGCGAATCAAAATGTTATCATTTATGACAGCGTCACAAGATTGCCACATGCAGCTTTTACACGCGCAACCCATTTCCGAAGCCGGCCGACGTGGTTCGCACGCACGCACGCAACGCACACGCACACGCAACACGCAAAACTCGGGCGGTCAGGCGGTCGTCGGGCAAATTGTAGGGGGCCTAGAGGAGGATTACCATGAACCACAAGCCGCTGCGTGTGCGATACCTCTGCGGCCACATTACGGGCCACGCACGAGTAGTTGCCGTTGTGATCTGGAGATAAACTTTCAATCATCAGTATGCTATTGTACTGGTCCACACTGGTGACAGTCACGCGCTCCGACGGTCCCATCGAGCGTCCGTCTTTGAGCCACGTGATGGACAGCGGCTGATCGCCTCTAGTCACCGAGCACGTCAGGGTGGTACGTTCGCCGAGGTGCAAATCGCGATCTGCCGTGAACGGGCTAATTTTGGGGGGAACTGGAATAATAACAACGAGAGAGCTCGTGAGCGCACGTACAATATATAGACGGCTATCGGTAACACATGGCGTGTATCTGCATCTCCCCTTGCGTGCAATCCTAGAAATTATCTCTACCGCTTCTGGCTCGCTTGACTCTCATCTTTGTTCCTCGTCTTTCGATTAGTTATTCGGTAATGCTCGAATTTGTCTTCTCGACCTCGTGAACCGTTCCTCTCATGGCATCCGTTACCACATCTTCCGTCGAAATGATCCACCTGCGACAATTCATTATCGTAGGGAAGAGGAAATAATATGCCTTACCGATCACCGCGACGTCTCCGGATCTTCTGGCGCTGTGACCTTGCTTGTTCCTCGCCCAACAGGTGTACACGCCCGGGTCGCCATTCTTTTGCACGCTGCTGATCATCAGGGTGCCGTCCGGAAGTACCTTCTGACGCAGATTATCCGGCAACTCGCGACTCGACTTCTCCCACTTGATCTCCTCGATCGGATATCCAGCCACGGGACACTTCAAACGAAGCGTCTCGCCGGCGACGGCGGTCACTTTCGGGATCAGGCGTATGTATGGAAGTCCTAGAAATTTTGTCATTTACATATTTGTCTGCATTTTAAGATTCTGAATTCTAATGAGAAACTTCGATAAAATCGATAAAATCGAATTAGGAACATCAGAATTTCATTAAGTTCCTTTTACGTATAAAAAATTAAATTTTTAATCCTTGCTTTAATTTATAATCATATAATGGATCATTAGATTCTCATATTTTAATGAAAATATAATAATATATTATAGTTTACACGAGTCGTACATTAGTGATAAGCTATCATTTATGCATGCGTTATTATAAAGAAATCAGGAAGAGGATCGTTATGATCAATTTTGGATGATATAAAATTAATATGTCGACTAATATATATATTTGTCCCGTTTTACATTACACATTTTACATTATGAGAATAATCAGCAAAAGTTACATACCATAAACATTCAGTCGCGCAGCATGTGTTACTTTTCCCGCGCGATTTTCGGCGGTGCAGGAATATTCTCCTCCGTCCTCCACCATAACGTGGCTTATATTGACATGGGATATGACGTCGCCGTGCACCGTTACGTATTGACCAATGACAAATCTTGCGCAACAATCGATGAATTTTTTATTTAAAAAACAATTTACACAATAATAGTATATGCACAGTAATTTGTCGTTTTCATCAAATTTAGATAGAAAGAGAAAATTAAATTCTGATCCATCAAAAAAAAAGAGAATTCGAAATTTCAAAAAAAGTAAATTTTTTTATTACGTAATAGCACAGACACACAGTAATAATATTTCTATCGCAATAAAGTGTGTAATGTTACTAATGAAAGTGCAATAAAAATCGTGATGACTAAAAGGTAGATCAATTTTTCCATTGATTTGATGCACCAGGCAAATCTCAAAATGACGCAATATCATGAATCTCGCGATAGATGTTACGTATTTATCGTTTAGAATATTTGTCTAGATTCCATCTCGATCAGCCGAGAATAAAATTATACATAAAACTGCGTCCAGCGAGCGGAAAGAGCGGAACTGGACTAGAAAAATGGTGATAAAAAATGAAATATATGGCAAGATTCGCGAGATGATGGATCCTTTATCCGATCAGTCGTTAAATAACATATGAGGCTCACGCATATACGTATCAAACAACATGGCCATATACGTTATCCATAAATATTCTCGTTTCCTATATTACATACAGAATTGTTCATATACATCTAGATGATCGTGAATGATACCGTCAGAAATTACGATTCAGTTACGATAGTAATGTAAATGACGTTTAGGGCGTCTTGTAAGCTTGATGGCGCCTTCAAGACCGTCGATCTCGATTTTGTACATCGAGTGTTATTGATATTGTCAATAACGTGTATGCATCACGTGATAGCACAAGAAAGTAAAATATCATATTCGATCATATCGATATAATGCCATTGTATAGGGATAAAATGACTCGCGATATAATTTATTCTTTCTTTTCATCTTTCTTTTTTTCTTTTTGGCAGAACCATTAGTTACACCGATGAATTATGAGATATATGAGATCCCGAAAATAGCACACGAAATATTAGTAAAAATGTAGGTCATTTTGGAGAAAGAGAGAGAGAGAGAAAGAGAAAGAGAGGGACGAACTTACCTTCCATTAGTCGGTAAGGGAAAACCGTCCAACGCCCATGATACCTGTGGTGTAGGGTTTCCTGCGGCGGAACATTTTAAGGATACGGCGGGTCCTGGCTGGAGTGTCTGCTCGATGAACGAGTATAGGAGTACCGGTGGCGCGTCTGGAACGTTAACGTGTAAGTCGAGCTTAATTACGCGCCGGATACTTTATGTGCCAAGCGTTATCGTTAATCAAAGTTGCTGGAACTTTGGGAAATATGTAGGTGCAAGCGACCGTTTAAAATAAAGGGGAAACATTTGCGCACGCGGTGCGAAATTAATGCAAATTCGATATCGCGGCTAAACCGATACCTCGTTCTTAAAAATTATCGCGGAAATGTTTCGCATTTTTATCTTACGATCCAAGCCTAGTATTTATATTCAAGTTGGAAAATTTTATTCCCATGCACATTTATCTCCGCTATGAAAATGTGGATTACCGATGTAATCCACGCGAGTACCGTGACCTGACAATAAAATGCAAGTGCACCGGGAGTTAAACGAAGGGTTACGAGCGAGCCATGGAAAGAAGAAGACGAGGGTGCGCGATATCCTGATCCTGAAAGCCGCCACGCCCAGCGCACATCGCGATAGAAATACGAGAGACAATGGATCCGCCGTCATGGAAGCACGAATATTTCTCCTTTCTTTGCCGATGTTACTCGGGTAACACGGACAAAACAAGACTGATGCGCGCGAAACTCGCAAGAGAGTAGAAGGAGGCTGTATGCGAATCTCGTGAGAAGGAGAACTCGTCGGGATCGAAGAACCACGCCGATTTATCCGGCTGTGCTCGTAATTAAAAGTGTCATTAAAAATGCTTCGCTGTCGCATCGCAAAGAGAATATGGACCCGCTGCCCTCGAAGAAGGAAGGGAGAAAATGGTCCGAATGAATGTCGGGTTCTTGCTTGCGAATCCGTGCGCAAATTGATGAATCCCGTCTCTATGCCTCTCGGCGATCATTAGCGCGTCTCTCGTAGTCGCTACATCGCGGCTGTTCCACCTCCGGTCGATGAAATGGAATTTTAAGTGATGGTGATAGCGACCGACGCTAGCATTACAATATCTGGGAGGAAGATGTTCTCGTCATTCAGCAGAAACATCTACTGCTTTTACGTTGATTGTACCTCGCGCGATGCAACGTCTGTCGAAGTGTGCGAATCGTCGGGTATTAAAAGAAAAAAAATTTGTTATAATTTAATTAAAATATTGCATATATGTATATATATATATATATATATATATATATATATATATATATTGTGTATAAATATTTTGATTTCAGCGCAGATTTTTTTATAATACCACAAGAGAATTTTTTTGCGCTCCAACAGATTAATTACACTTATATTTTCGTCTCGATGTTCTTCGACAGACATTATCATAATTATTTTTAACGGATCGATAAAACTGGCGAAGCATTCGTATATGTTAATCAAATTGATAAACACGCGCGCGCAGCCCCGATTGAAATACGAGGAATTCGTTTTGAATAATTTGGCAGTTCTGTTCGTTCGAGGAAATGACTTTCTACCGTCGCTTTTATTCCGTTACATACCATATTTCGCGCTTTTATTCTGATGTTTGAAATTTCGTAGCGAGCAGAACGTTTTGTGTGCAGCGGCGATACGCGAGAAATATGTTCCTGAGGTCCATACATATATATACATATTATACCGAAGAGAGAATAAATAGAGGAAAGCTTTTGGCAAAAATTAATTTTCCTACCTTCGATGCACATTTTCCACATACTAATAATTAAACACACTGATATCAATTATATAATAGCGCAACGAGATGTGTTTTGCGCAAATCACTTTTTTCCACCCCGATTTCTCCGAAGCCGAGGCAATCAGAGCTAATCGATAAAACGTCCGCTAATCGCGAAAACGTCGGTAACTGCCGGCCAATCGTACGCGGCTACTTCGCCGGGTAGATTTTACGAGTGAGTAGTACTTGAATTTGGCGGAATGCATTTCGCACAATTTGCCGAGCGCACTCTCTCTGTCTCTCTCTCTCTCTCTTTTTCTCTTTCTCTCTCCGGTCTCGGAAATGACTTTTTCTGCAGCCGTTCCGTTCCGACCGGGCCGCAGCCAGGCCGTTTTTCTCCGCCTCGTCCGTTCTCGCAAAATTGCATCGGCGATCGCTTTGTCTCACTCGCCCGCGCACCCCCAGGATGTCCCTGCTGTCGGCGCTCGCTCGAATTCTCTTTGACGTAAATTCCGTGCATTACTGACGCTGACGAGCGAGAGACGCTAACTTCATTGTTGTTTCAAAGGCCCATCCTCCCTGTCCTATCGTCCACGTATCCCCGATCTAAATATATGGGGTGTGTCCGGCCTCTGTGTAGCACATTCTACTATTAGCAATAGATTCTTTAATACATTTTTAATAATTCACTAATATTTTACAAATAATCGTTGCTCGTTGCGGCTTCTTCGAAAATTTTCAACGTTAAATATTCCAGAGAAGCGAAACTCCGAATTAAATCTCCGCTGAGAAGCGCAATCCACTTGGGAGCGACTAACAAAGTTTGCTGGTTCCTCGCTGATGAAATTTAATTCACGGATATCTCTTAATTTCTTGCATTAAATATTTCTGTAATTAGAGCGGTAAAAAATCCTTTCGTCGAGAAAGAATTGACTTGAAATTCATTCGCTATTAGTGATCGATACCATGAAAGGTGGACGTTCCCTACAGGACGCGATGAGGTGGTACGAGGCAAAGACGAAGTTGCACAGCTACGAAACGAGGTAAAACGCTGTAAAAGAAGATCCCTCTGCACTTCAAAGTGCTCCCTGTCTCCGATCGGTAGCTCGGCACGCGGCGACCGCCGTCTCTTTGCCGAGTAATCAAGTTCTGTGTAATTCGATAGGTAGTATAACGCGGGCTGTCGATCGCTGCGCTGCCAGTCTTCCCCTTCGCTGGGAAGACACCTTTGACGGGGCATTCGAAGATGACACGAGATAAAAAGAGCGAGCAAGAGAAAAAGAAAGAGAGGGAGAAATGAGAGTCAATATCCTGGCGCAAGGAGATCGGGTCACCGTACTAGATGTCTCCGTTATTATACGAGATATCTCGGGGGATAATGCAACACTCGCCATCGGAGTGCTATTATTGGTGCTTTTCCCGTGAAATTGAATCGTTATGTCGAACTTTTCATGGCATATTTAATTTGCGAAATGTCTTATACTCGAATAACGCGTGTCATTGCTTAAAATTAAATTACTATGCTAAAAATCCAAAAATTTTTGTTTATAACTGAAGAGTTGCATATCAATTTTAGATTGACTTGATTGATTGACGTGATTGATCTGAATTCTGCAATACCTATCATCCGAATGCAGCTTTCCATCTTAAGTAATTTACATGTTACTATTTTCGATGATTTCATTTACATTGCGTTTATTTGAAAAATCAAATTGCGATTTTTTTTAGAACTTCTTATGTAAAAGGAGAGGCTAAATGATGAAGAAAGTATTTACGTACCGCCTAATTGAAGTTCCGCAGACGCTTGAGCGGTATCGCCTTCCGATCTTCTGACAATGCATTGATACATGCCGCGATCATCCCTTCCGATTCCGTTCAACCTCAGTAATTCCGATTGCCTCCCCGATCCTGGGAGCTGCCTACCGTCCTTGTACCACGTGATAAAATGCGGCCCAGCTTGCGGATGCGTACCAACTTCGCATCTGAACTCGGCGTTGCCTCCTAAGTGAACGCTGAGCAACGGAGGCGTCACTTCCACGTGAAGAGGCGCCGTCACGATTAACCTGAGATTATAATAAAAATATCGATATTACGTTAACTACGAGCTACATTTAACTCACGATATCAAACGACGCGTGATGATGTCATAATTAAAGGGAGAAGATGACGCAGGGGGTAAATGAAATGATGAAATAGATTATTAATTTTATAATTAATAATTGGCACTTGTCAATAAGTTATTTATATTAATTTTAATCTATATTTTACCTAATTTCGGCACTCGCCTCGCCGCCAGGATTAGAAGCAGAACAGCGGTACACACCGCTGTCCTCTAATGTTACCGCCTCGATGGCTAGTACAGAACCAAGTAATCTAGTTCTAGGTCCGGAGAGCACCAACATTGGTTCCGCACCTGTTTGCGCGTACCACCTGCAAAGCGAAAGCGTCGAGAAAATGCTTTCAACATAATAACATTCGTGAGCGGTACTCTACGTTATTTAAAGAATGCATGGTTTTTTCGTTTACATAAGAATAATTTTTTAAAAGTAACATTTTTTTCTACTTTAATTGTTATTAAGTAAATTGTTTAATTGTTGATTAAAAAGTATAAATATATATTAAGCATAAGTATAAAATTAAAAATAAATATAAAAATAATCTTTTAAAAAAATAATACATTTTGTTAAATGAAAATTGTTAATTACTCTATAAAGATCACAAATATAATGTGTACACAAATATTAAAATATTGAAGATAAATTAGAGATATTAAAAAGAAATATACATATACCATATATTGTTATTTATATGGCAATACAATTTTTATTGTCGTGCGTATTGATTGTGCAGTAGAATTCTATCGCGTTAGTTGTGATATTTTCTAAATTTGTCACATAATCGATTTTCGAAGTCATTGCAATCTGGTTCAAGTGTTTGAAGACAGTACGATTGATACGATCTTCAAATAGCACACCTTCTCTCTCTTTCTCTCTCCTGCTTTATCACTTTGTTCCTGTTTCCTTTCTGTCTCTCGCACTCTGTCTCGTTGACGAATAATTTTTCATCAAAAGGCAAAGCAGTTGGTACAGCAAAGAGGCGGGGGCATGAAAGGAGAGAGCAGTTCAATTTCGTTGGCTTTTCGGATACATCGACCTAGAAACGACGTCAGCATCCCCCCAGCAGCGTTTATTCCTGAAATTCTCTTGCTGTCTCTCTATTTGTAGTCACTGACAGTTCCAGATCGGACAGTACATTTTGACTTTGGATCATTCAAGAGCATAAGGTGCTTTCTCTCGTCTTGCACACTCATAATCTATTGAATTTCGTTTAACTCCTAATTTAATATTTTAATGATGTTGTAGGAATTTTGGCAATGCCGTTTGCAATATAATTCTCAAAAGAATTGTATATTTCAGGAGAGAATTTATTTATATTTTTTTAAGAGCACATGCAGATTGTCAGAAAAAAATAATAATATTGTCATTAATATTTTAAATTAAATTAAAAAAATATAAAATATATATATTATAATGATGTACAAAGTAGAATTTATAATAATAAATATAACATTAATGTTATTAAGAAAGATGCAATGCGTAAGAAGTATCTGTAAAAAAATGGCGCTTATATGAAAACATACTTTGCTTATTTAAATGAACATTACATGTTTAAAATTTTTGTTTTTGTTAGGATTTTAAGATGTTCCACAACCAATGCAATAATTATTAGAATTTAAATGTTTGCATGAAAGATTCAGTCGAAAAGTTGAAGCTGATAATACTTGGATCGTGTCGAGTCGTTAGAAGACGAGAAAGTTGGCGAGCACGCTACGGCGTGTCGTAAAAGTACTTAAAAGTTGCACGTGTCCAAGAGGGAATTCAATAAATCCTGCGGAGTTCCGCGGGAGAATCTTATCCGCGCGATTTGTCCGGAGGGAGGATTTTTCGATCGGCCGCCTATCGCACGTCTGCAAACGGCTATTATTTGAGCGCCCGGATATATCGGCGTCGCATAAATCTCGCGACAAATTTACGATGCGTCTCTATACGCACGCATATAAATTCGCATAATGCATTCCTCTCTCGGGGCAGGGCACGTGTGCCGCGCAGGTCTTAATAACGCGGTAGTATTTCACGAGCGGAATAGCGATACACGCGTTTCGGTCCCGCGAGACAATCGACCGCCCGTTGGGGAGGTAGTCGACTTGAAACGTATTAAGCGAATGTATTTTTCATACAAGAGCTACGGGCCCCCGACTCCGGCCGCCCGTGTCGCGATATTGCCAATAAATTTTCATTCCGTCGAGTATTTGCCCGAGCTACATCTGCGGTCTCGGAAGACGAGCAGGAGGCAGGCAGAGGAAAGTGTCATTTATTCGGCATTCCAGAATGTAAATTACCTTAATTTTTCTATATCTCGTTTCCTTCAAAGGATTTTTTCAGAGTTGCGTCTTTTTATTGAAAAAATTGGATTTACATGACGCGTGCCTCGCAGGCAGGTAAAAAACCATTTGTTAAATTCTCTGTTCTCTGTAAAGTGGCGAAAGATAAAGTACGACGTTTGATTGTAGACGTGCCGGGAGTAAAGGAACGGGAAAACCCGCTCAACGGAAAACGCCAAGTCGCGAGAGCGAATCTCTCTTTCCTCGAGCCGAGCGACATGGAGAGCTTCCGATTGTGCAACCCTCTTGCGAAGCTTCGCGATCGAGTGCTCCTACTTTTCCCCGATCAAAATCGTACTCTCTCCTCTTTTCATCTCCCTCATCTCTTTTGAGCACTTCCGTGCACCCGTCTTCGCCCTTTTCTTCCCCTTTCTTCCGTTCCTTGCCGAATATTATCTGTCCTTTTCGCGTCACGTTCGCCCAGCGGGATTCGATCGTAATTTCTCGAGGGTGAACGCGAGAGGAAAGAAGAAGGGAAGATTAAAGGAAAGGATTGAGACCCCCGTGCAGCCACCCTTTTCTTTTCTTCTCTGATACCGATGGAGGAGATCGCGAAATGCTTCAAAGAAATGTATGAAACGCGCACGTAGGCTCGCGCACGTTTGCTCCTTCATCGAGTGTCGATTTCCGGTGCACAAAGACATTCGCGTTCGTCTTTGTATCATCCGGTTACAAGATGTTCGAGAGACGGCACTCTCTCTTTCTCCCTCTTTCTCCGGCGACGACAAGTGGACGGCAAAGTGGCGCATGTCCCTTCCCTTTTTTCTTTCTCCACAGCAGCGAATAAATCCATTCTCAGCACGTTGGTAACGAGCGGCGATCTCTCGCCTCGCTTTTCCGTGAGATTACTCTATAATGGGAAAAGCTGCGGGGAAACGCGCAAGGTGCCATTTTTCTCTTGTTACGTCCCCGTTATATGAGACTCTTTATGACGGTAGACATTATTTAAAACGACAGTGATTCTGTATGGCGGCGTAATACACGACATATTTCCCATCTACCTTTCGTTTAACCATTTCATATATTACTTATAAAATAACGAGATAATAGAGGGATAGCATCATTCTTGTTATTATCATAATATGGAGAGTGTTCCAAAATTAACGTCATTTTAAGAGTAGATTCTCCGGCCAATGGATAGAGTTTCCTACAGCAAGTGAGTTTCCTACAGCAAATGTCGAGGCATTAATAATTTCCAAGTTATAAACGATTGAAAGAACTTTTCTCAAACTAAACTTTGTAAAATTGAAAAATACATGGTTTAATTAATTACAGCTAAAAGTTTACTTTAAAAGAATTTTAATTTGAAGTTACAAAGATATGTGACAAGAAAAATTAAAAACTTACAAAAAGCATGATCTCTTTTGACATTTTCGTTACAAACAAAAAATAGTCTTCAAATTGGCTGAAAAATCCGTTCTTAAATGAACATTCGATGATACGGGACATCTTGTATGTATTTATAATTTGAATATATTTGGTAATAGAAAAAAAAATCACTCTATATATTGATATATATATTTCAATTTCTTTCGATAAATTAATTAAACTAAAACAATCTTATTTTTTTTATTTTATATTCTGTATCATCTACATACATATATCATTTTTCCATAAAAAGCTCTCTCATTTCAACATTTCAATATTTTTATATTTTAGTTTTTAAACATTTTTAATAACAATTTTAATAAAAATTTTATTTTTAAATGTGTGTGTGTATATATACGAGAAATTTTTTTCAGATTTACTGCACGCCTTGAAAAACATAAAATTTATCACACACATTTGTTATCGTATATAATATAAACTTTTATTTTAAATAGCTGTTATAGAAGAAGATGTAATTCGCTGTACTTGAATTATTGTTAGTCCAAATATAAATCATTCGTGACTCTTTATCTATTTTTCGATTATTTAAATGTAATTCAGATTGAGATCCTGCCGTAAAACGATCGAATCGTAAATATAAATATATATTTAACATATTGAAAGTGATCCTTCAATAAATAATCATATAATTAATCTATATCATTTAAAATCTAAATATTTATACTTTAAAATATTTCGCGTATATATTTGTCAAAGTATGTAAAATATTTCGAACAGAGAGAGAGACAATAACACAGTATTTGGTCTTGACGGCGTATACAATAGCCCGCTAATGTTTACATTCCGCGGTCTTGGTATCATTCGCAGGCGACACTCGAGCAAGATAGTAGTGCGAAACGATACTCTTCGTATATTATCGAATTTATTATAATTGGATGATTATCATGACTTTCAATTACATTAATTTTTCGATTTTATAATTCGTGTTAATGTAATATTAATAAAACGGAGCATTTGTAATGAGTAGTGCATGCATTTGAAACTTTATATAAATATCGAACGAAAATAATACTTCTCTCGTGTCTTTTGTTTCTTACAATATGTTAAAAAGTGCGTTTTTCATGTAATTATTCCGCGATCGGGAGTGTTGTGCTAAGTGTCTCGCGATCGTTCCATATATAATTAATTATTATTATTTGTATTTTCGGAAGTGAGTGCTACGAAGAAATAGCAAAGGACGAAAAAGAGAAAAGGGAGAAAAGCATCGAACAACACATACCGAGCAACGAAATATAAAATGTAAGTCATTTATAAATTATTTATTATTCATGTTACTTTTAGACATATTGCCTGTTCCTTTTTCACCTTTTCGAATTTATTCTTAATTATCATATATAACGTATATATGAAAAATATTTCAGTTTTTATTTTAAAATATTCCAAATAATATAATAAAATATTTTTCGTGTCAATTGATATTTCAAGTTAGTTCAATATTTTATAAAATATTTCACAATAATGTAATTATTATATACCTTATATATAAGAATTAGATATTTTTAAATAAACTGTATTTTTATTAAAAGTTTATATTCAAGATGCTTTCAGAATGCTTGATAGTTATAATTTACAATATTAAATATCTGTTTAAAAAGCAAAA